AAATACTGAGAAACTGCGAAAAAGGTATGGAGTTCTTGACGTGTGATGGATATAACAAGTAACTATGTGAATATGTAAGTTTGTAGTTAACACTAGTGCTTAAACCGTTGCCTTCAATTAAAATTTTGGTGTCTAGAAAAGCAAAAGAAGTGTCAGAAAATTTCTTAGGTATACTTCAGAGCCGGGTGAAAGGAACTGACGGCGGTTATAAATTGAGTGAGCTCCTCTCTGGTACAGGGCACACACAGTTATTATGCTCCCTATTTCAATCCAAAGAAAAAAATTTGAACAATTTAGTTGACGACTGCATCGGCGCTACCTCTTCTAGCGACCGTAGAGTTCAGGTTTAGGGCCGCGATATTGACTAAAAAATTGGTGTTCGATAAAACCTATGAAAAGATTTCGTAGCTGGGTCCCATGGATACGCCATTTGTTTGTAATAGTGTAGTTTGACTTCCGCTCAGGTTGTCGAAACGTCAGTCACCACTACCGACAACAGTCCTTCTCAGGACTACACTCACCCGGACGATCAAACTATGGGTTCAAACCATTTACTGTATTGGTTTGTTTGTAGTAGTTTCCACAGAATGAAAAGCAATTGAGTGTAAGTACTGGTTCGGCTAGATTTCTTTTCAAACGCTTGATTTTTGTGTGTATACATTACCTCATTTCACAGTTATCATAGGAGGAAAAATTTTGGGCTTCGTCTAGTTCTTGTGTAATTCGGGGTTCACTCAACCAATTTCCACCCCAGTTAGTTTCGGGAGGTAATGTATGGCTGAGAGTTCCTGGGATCGAGATTGTAAAGTTGCCAATTAGAGGCTTGTCCTAAAGACTCTTCGACTGTTATCCGAGTCTAAGTTCCAAACGACTAATGTGAGATTTGCGAATGCTTGGCACAACTTACTCGATGACAAAGTAACTGTTTTTCCTAAAGCTAAGAGAAATGGGTTTGTCCAGGTGTAACTCCCAGATATTCAGCTTCGAAAATAGAAAAGTAAAGTCAGTGAGTGGAACGATGGGTGACAAAAAGGAACTGGAGAAGACGAACTCGAATGTCACAATTTGGGAGAGAATATTCAGCGACAATAGACTGCTAAATTGCCGCCAGACTAAACCCCGATATGTATTTCATCGCTGGAGACATGAGGTATGCCAAATATGAGTAAGATTGCTTTATTTTTTCGAAAAACAGCGGCAATGGGGCGCTTTCGCTTTATCTCTTGGATCAGATAACTTCCGCTAAGACATATTCTTTATAGGTTTTTAATTACTCTATGTTGACAAAGAATCAATTTATGGTCTAATTGACGAATTAAATTGACAGAGGTCTTTAAATGAGGGTTCTTTCTCAGTGTTTTATTGAGGATATGAAAGTTTGGCTTATATCTTGAATCATTTTGAGCGAAGTTTTTAAACATCGCTTCACCTTCACCAGGGCTCGGTCGCTAAGCCAACTCGAATGACGTGATATTTTTCTAGAAAGATTGAGAGATACACAATTGTTTACGAAAGGTCAAGTTCAATATGCCGCGTGAAATTGCCAATTAAAACAAAACAAAGCGACTCTGATAACACAACTTCCCTAAGCAAACAAAATCCAAAGTTCTGACGTTCGACTCTTCGACTCGAAATTTTTCCTTTGTCGCACGCTAGTGACAAGAGGGAAAACATCTTTGTCAATGTTTTAGCGAGCTCAAAACTGACCATCTCTCTTATTTTATTCATACAAATAGTGATCTCTTTCTACTTATAATAATCAAAAGATTACGGTCTCTAATCGCGTGACACTTCGAGTGCATGCCGTGACTCTTATACCTTACACTCCCGCCTTGACGCTATCAGGCATCGTTTACACGGACGCGGTTTCCAATCGAAACGGTTTCATGACCTCAAAACCGCATCGGAAACGACACGGTTTCGAAGTGTTTACACGAAACCTATCCAACCGTTTAGGCCAAACCAAAAAGTTTCTACCGAGACCGGAAGTCGCATGTTCGTTATTTTCCTTTCGATGAACCGTCTTAGTTCACCACATAACTTATAAAAATTGTCTTTGCCCATTCTGAAATTTTCCTTCCATTCTTCTGAAAGCATGCCACCGTCAAAAAAGTTGTCCCACCAGAAACTAGTTCTCCCAGGCCGAATCCAGAATCTTTGTTTTGCTTTTAACTTCTCTTCGTTACTCTAGAGCGTATCGACGAAAATGTCAACATTTCAAGACATCTCTGCTTGTTGTTACGATATGCCTCTCGGTTTATAGAGAGTAAAATACAAGAAAGCTGAAAAAGCGAAGTTAAACCACAAAACAAAGTTGTGATTGTGCAACAAAGCGTTGTACTCCGTGCGAGGTTCACCTTATTTACCTTTCGCGAGCCAGCCAATTTCGCGCCAAAATAAGTAACCGTTTTTAAATCGATGCGGTTTCGCCGTTTACACGGCCAATGAAACCGTATCGTTTTGAAAACGCTCCACTTTTGAAAGCGTTTTCAGAACGACCCGGTTCTGATAACGAACTCGACCGGCGCCGTGTAAACGAAAGGCGTAACCGCATCGAAACCGATGCGGTTACAAATGAAACCGCGTCCGTGTAAACAATGCCTCATTCTCAATAAGAATTTCAATTTCTAGAGCACTTTTTTTCAAAAGAGATGAACTTGCCAAATATAAATGTCTGCGCTTTAACTACGTTCAGGTGAAAAATGCTGAAGGGACCAAGCTGTTTCGCTCTTGACTATATTTGGAGACAGAGAGGGTCTGGGCAAAGGAAAGTGTGTGAGATGACGTCTTATACACTACAAGGAAGTTATATCACAAGGTAACTGTAAGAGGTGATGATGATCCCACTGTTTTTCTTTTGGTTACTGTCTTCGTTGAGGTTAATGTATGGAGGATACAAAAATTAAACTATGAGTCACAAAATGTTTAATACCATCTTCATCTACATAAATCACAGATGCATGTTCGCCTTCATATTCTGCTTGCCAACGTTTTTTTGTTTCTTGTTACTGAAGCATCGTTTTCAAAGACTATTCATGCTCTTTCTGTTCACGTGGCAATCATCAGTGGACTGGTTTGGACGGCAGTTAATGGGCTTCTGGACGTTTCATGTCTATCAAAATGGTGGGTATTTTGCAGAGTTTCCTTTTTTCTTTTATTTTACTTTGGTGCAGTATTTTGAATATTTCTATGAATTTGAGATAATAAACGGTGAGTCGTCGATTGTCTGACAACATCGTTTCATCTTCAACAAATTCTATACCTTTGCAAATATACTTCCTTGAATGCTTGTTTCTGATAATCCAACTTAGAAGACAAGTTTTTAAGAGCTTCTTCACGGCTTTTGGGCTTTAATGTTATTAATTGCATACTTTATTTCAACCTCACCATGGTAACTTTTTGTAGGCTCCTTAATCATTTAACCGTAGGGGTTACCTGAACATCAAACATTAAGGTCATTAGAATGTTCATCAGCTATAGAGGCTCTTGATTGCAAAACAAATTCTCCTTGTAAGCGTCTTAGGAAAAGTCTGGAGAACAGTGTGGAGAATATACATACTGATGTTAGGATGTAAGGGTAAAATTGAAGGTCTTACCCGTTACAATGACTTTAATACCACGTTGTACTCCTGCAACATCCGATTAAACATATTTTGATTCAGAGTAACTGAGTCACGACGAAAAAATTTATTTAACTGTATGGCGTTCGATTATCGTCAAGACTGTTATAACCTTTACGTCATTCCAAGCCAGAGAAGTTACGTCACTTACTCCATTTTTAACGTCATGAAGGGTTCCTTTTAAATGGAACTGGGGATCTTAAAATTAGACTTTGTTGGTAAATACAAACGTCAGAGAGCTGATAATAAATCCTCGAGGAACGAGGATTTCAGGATGGGAAAGATGAATATGACGTATTGCGAAAGACAAACTTGAAAATTTCGGCTAAACTTGAAAAGATGCACTGACTGCAGACATTTGCACCAAGCTATTGTTGGTCGACAGCAAGGTAATGTGACTGAAACGCTGAACTGTCTAACGTCACACTCTATTGTTTTCTCTTTTGCGTTCGTTGGTCTCAAAGTGATTATTTACTCGACTAATCATTTAGTTTATAGAATTATTCCCTGAGGATTTGTGGCTGAGAGGTAAAAAACAAAGCGCAAAAATAAAAACTTGGTAGAGGTAAAAGGTGTCTCTGATTTTGTGCCATTTTGTCAAGCACAGGCTCACCTTATCTCAATTTGTATCCGTTGCGAAAATATTGAGTACTGTAAGAAAGAGATCCTTGACGAAGGGAATCAGGTTTTCTGGTTCATTAAGTGTTTCAGTCATCGGAATGAGCAAGTTTTTCATCGGAAGCTTTTGTTTCACATTTTTAGCTAGTAGATGTTCGAAAGATCATGTGTTCGGTGAAATCAAGTCTTTGACGAGTAATCATGAGTTACCCTACCGGACAGTGTCATGTGAAATATTTTACTTTATTTTTGGGACTATTCGTGTTAATTGAAGGCTTTCAGCGCCTATAGACATTCTTGATTTAGCTCTTTAGCGTATTAGTAGTGTCTTAATTACTCGCAGCAATTGTTTACAAATCCTGGTAACCAAACAAACCAAACAATCACTTTAACCCAATGTGCTCCAATCAAGATTACTTGCATTGTGTATTTAAGCTATTTTCAAACATGTACCAACCAAGAGTCGAATACAATTTGCATGTGGGTACAAAAGAGACTCGGTGTGCAAGCCACTGATTAGGCAGACAAACTAAGACGTAAAGAACACTTAAACGCTTCTAACGTACTGTAATAAGCTAAATTGGAATTTCAGTTTGGTTTTAATCAATCGGCATACTTGGGTAAAATTTAGAGTTATTTTCGGAGTTGTTTTATCTCCCTTTGATGGAGTCGGCGCCGGTATACCTGAAATAACTTTAAAGATAGTTGTTTCGTAAGAACTTGTACATCATGGCGGGGAAAAGTAGAGCGATAGACAAAAATATGTCGAAGCTCGGGAATCGTTTGATAACCACGATGCTAAAGAATGAGAAGTTGGCTGAGAAAGAACTGGACAAAAAAATGAAAGCTATCAAATATTCGGAGCGAAAGTCTATGGTGAAAATATGTGAAACTTCTCTTGACATGAAGTACGATATGAGGAGAAAACGAAACACGCAAGATATGGAGGAACAAATTGCTAGTGATTCATTAAATGCTACTTTTGGTCAAGGAAGGGTGTTGCGTTCGCCCAGCATATCTCGGAGGGGGAGCTACGCACCCATTTCACCAAAGCAAGACGATGCAGACGAGACGGCGTCTGTTTTAAGTCTGTCAAGTAAACGAAGTTCTACAGGTGAAGCGCCGGAAATTTTGATCAATAACGAGAGGAAGGAGACTGACTCTGACTTTGATCCAGAGAGCAGGCGGTCATCTGTTGCAAGTCAATCCTCGGATGCGCCTCTAAGTGATGTGCCAGCTCCCGCGGACGAACCGCCTGCCATCGACGACGCAGAAGCTCAAAAGATGCTGAACGCGTTTTCTCAAAGCACGCGTGGTTCTCATCGGCGACGTACTGCGCCGGAAATCACAGATCTCTCACCAAAGCTGCTTATTCAGTTAGCGAAAAGTTCGGCAGAGGTGAGAAGACGTGGATCTACAATGGACGGGACGGAGGGAGAAATGTTGGAACCAACTCCACCAGCGTCCACTAAAAGACGTGGATCAGCAACAGCTGAATTGATGCAATCAAAGGCAGAGGCAGAAAGTGCAGAGGGATCTGTATCAAGTTCACCCATACTGCGGAGACGGGGTTCTGCTGCAGTGGGTAATTCTTCTCCACAATCTCCGAATCTTCGTAGACGTGGATCTGCTGCAATTACCAAATCCAAAAATGTGATTTCTCTTGAATTAAACGAAGCTCATCTCAGGGGAAAAATTTCGGAGCAAGCTCCGCTTCCGCCGCGACTGAAACAGCCCCTTTCTCCATTACTCGGAAGGAGAGGCTCTGGTGTTGCGGCTTCTCTCCGTCCCACATCAGGAAGGTCGTCGCCAAAGGGATCACACACAGATTCCGCTTCAGAACAGATGCTGCCAGAATTGAACAATGGGTCTCCCGCCAGGATGCGGCGGTCACTGAGTCCAGGACGACAACCTTCTTCCATAAATCGTCCTTCCACCGCTAGGTCATTGTCTTCACTATCTGCAGATAGTGCACTGGCAGATATTCAGTTGGAGGCTTCATCACCTCCTGGCGAATACGACCTTACTCGGCGACGTGGCTCCAGGCCTGGATCTGCAAGGAGTTGTTATTCCATGCCTCCAGGAGGGCTTCTCCTTCCAATCGACAGGTCATCTTTAGCTAGCCGCCGAGGTTCAGATTTCACCCAAATTGACCTAAACACTCTGTCACCCTCCTCACCTCTCCGAAAGGCCATGGAAGACCCTCAAGCGACACTGAATCCTGCTCCAGTGTCACCGATTGTGTATCGGAGACATTCAGGAACAGTGGAGGCTCTGCAAGATCGTGTTGATGACTTCTTAAAAACATTGGCAGCAAAAAGTAGTTGAAATATTTTGATCCTGATACACGTAATGATTTGGAGTGACATTCAAGCTCACAGTATTGTTCAGAAGTTTATTCCATGATACTCAATTTCTGCCTTTTTTTTTAATTGTCTCAGACCAGATAAGTTAACAATCGCTAATTTTTCAGTGCATTTTCTGTTTGGATTTCTGAAACTGAGCTATGAGCAAATACGCATTCGCTAAAAATTGTGCAAGCGAACATATGTCGTCGTAAAAATTCATGTCGTCATGTCGAAGAAACTACGATGCTACATGTCCGTGATATACATTAACTTTCACAAAGTTCATTGTTCCAAGAATTATTGATATTGTGAACGCTCCCGTAGAATTACACGTCATTATAACTCTTTGTACGATGGGAAAGTTTGGCGTCTATTCGTTTTCTATCTGGTATTTAAGAATGCATTCATGTAATTGTTCGTAAGAATTAATGGCCATGCAATTATCGGATAAGTTTGACCGCGTAAAATAGAATTTCTTGTAACCAATCAGAGTTGGTATCGCCGCGCGTCGAGATCATTTTTCGTTGACAAATATTAGGAGGTTCACCCGTGAGTACCATTTTATTATTTGAGAAACTTATCAAGATTTTCCTTCGATACTCCAAGGTGCTAGTTGTTAGCTCTGGTCGCGCGAGGCCTGGAACTCGCTTTACTGAGAATTTACACCGGCATAACACATCGCTTAAACGTCTGCGCACGTGCGAACGTTGTGATGACTAGGTGACGTGCTTTCAGGCTACCAAAACCAAGTTGTCTTACAAGAGTTATGAGCAACAACGCAAGTCAGTAAGTCACGTTGTTTTAGAAACGTACAAAATTTTTGATAAAGCTCAAAACAGAATGGTAATTCAATAGGGTGCTCGTACTTGAATAAACTTTGTGTTCGAAAGGTCTCGAGTTTTGCTTCTCCCCACTTTTATTTTTTTTACGTTTCAATTTACTTCGGTTTATTTTGCGAGACAGTAGTATTTTCTTTTGTTTTGCGGGGAAATTTCCGCACGGGCGCCTAAAAATTGATACCCCTGCGCATGCCCCCATTTGACCACTGAGTTTGTTTTTACCATACGAAATCAACTTGAATGAATAACTTATCAAATGAAGGCGTGGCCTATTCAACGATCGTGGACCCTGGGTACAATCCAACTGGAAAATCATACCTCGGACTTTGGTCACGTAAATTCCATTTCAATTTCAGAGTGAAATCGAAGCTGTCCATTTCCATCTTCCTTCTGCACTCCGACCGAAGTTCGTATTTGGCAGGGACGCGTTCTACCTTGGGTAAGTAACCGTTTTCTTTTTTAGGTGAAGTAGACAACAATATTATTCTTTTGTTGTCTAGTCTAGTCAAAAATTAAATATTGTGGTAGCATTTATCTTGGGGAAAGGTTGCCTGGTACGTGATAATCATTTTTTCTCTATCACCGTTGCAAGTTCTTACATCCTTTTTTCGAGGAGCGGGAAAATGGCTGGGATTTTAGAATTATCTCAGTTTATATCACTCAATATTGAAATAATGTGATAATTTTTTTCATCTTTCCGGTCGTACTACCACGTTTTGTTTAGAAAAAACTAAAATTTTTTTTTAACCTCTTGTGGTTTAAAATTCGATCAGTGAAATTGTGATTTTTTTTGCTAGAGTGTGATATCGTTGCCTTTCAGCTTTGCGTTAGAGGAGATCGAAACTGAAATAGATTCTTGTTTTTCGGATGAAGCACATCAGGGATTCTTTTGTTGCTTGCAGCTGCAGCTTCATGATCATGGCCGGAATATTACAGGAAAATTTGCTCTCACCAAGAAACAGTGAAATTAAAAATTTAAATGAATTAAACTCCAAATCAAATGGCTTCGTTTTGATCCTTGCATTTTATTCTCCGCGTGTGGTCCATTTAAATACAAAGACATAATTCATTTGGAACCTCATAGCAAAAAAAAAAAAAAAGGCGGTTTCCGGAATCAGTTTTGAATAAGTAAGGGACTAAAGTCCTTGTGTCAGATGCCGTTTACAATTAAATATTCTGCGGATGCAATATAAGGAAACCATCCAATGAAACCAGAGTTACTTGAATTACAATAAGTTCACTTCATTGTGGACGGTTTAAATTGTGGCATTTTGACACCCGGTGCAATCAACTAGGGCGATAAATTAAATTTGTTTCCTCCTTTCTTTTTACCTTCAACGCCTTATGTAAAAGTGCTTTTATGGACAAAGGGTAATTTCTTTGGTCTAGAGTGCATAAAGTTGAACAATCGACGCCGAAAAATCGTGATGTTTAAAGAGAATAGACGAAATGAAAATATTAGCATCCACAAAGAGAAACTGACTTTGAAGTTACTGGTGAATCAGCAGATTTCACTTTAACGGGGATAAACAACAGAAACGTCAAAATCTGATATCTGATCTTAAAAAATAACCTGCGAAATAATCAGAAGTTTTTATTATTTATCTACATATATTTCCGAACGATGTATATTATCTGCTGCATTACGAGTTTCTCTACTTAGTTTATCTCGATAGATTCTGTAAGAAAAAAAAAACCAAAATGTAAGCAAATAAATGCAATCTACTTCGGTTTTTATGGCGAGATGAACATTTTCAGGAGCACGTCCAGCCAGCCATGCATACTTCGCTTGGTTTACTATTCTTTAGGCGAATTAGTACAAAATTTTTTTTTTGTCGTCGTCGTAGCTCTACAAGTAAGGACTCTATGAGGATTTTAAGATATCAAAATTTTGCTGTGAACGCAAAAGTTTTTGAGAAACTGAATGTTTCATTGTAGTCTTAATTAAAAGAGTTTAGCAAAGGCAACTCCATTTTTGAATGTGTTATTTCATTGCGGTAACCTCTCTACTCAGCACCTTTCAGTGATTAAATCCCTCAAAGGTGTTAGCAATGTGGCTATAACCAATTGCTACACTTCAGTACTATCTCAGTTCACTGCAATTCGACCTCGATTTGAGGACACAATTAATCTGTAAAACTGTTGGAAACCACAAATTTTACCACATACACACACGCAGCGCCATGTCGTTAACCATTACAAGTGAAAGGCGTGACGGAGATACATTTTTAAAATTTTTAAACCGAAGCCCTTGTGATCATTGCAAGTTCAGCTTGTTGAAGCAATCCATGTAAATATTTGACCGACCATCGCTCTTTTTCACACCTAGTATATAAACATAAGTAAATTTTCCCGCTGAATAGGAAACAGGGAATTTGTTATCTGACAAGTTTTAGTCAGCATCTTAGACAAAAAGAATGACAAGGTTTCCCTCAATTATGTTGTTATGTTCAAAAGCCGTGACATTAATTTAATTTTTTTTCACCGAAAAACTCCTGAAAGAAGAAATTCTGTAGTGTAAATAAAACTTTTGTCCTTTTTATCTCTTTCTTTGATGATCTAACAAGGACACGAAAAGAAACTTTTTGTGTAAACCTTCTCTGGTATTGACAAGTCTTTGTTTGTCGAAGTAAATACCAACCAATTTTTCCTTGACAATTGCATTTGCAAAGGCAAACTTGCTACTTTAGATGTGGCTTTAACGATTGCCTATGGCGTTCCATAGACTACAAACATGTCACTATGTGGTAACCTTGTGCTTTCACCGCACACTTAAGTTCGTGGTTTTAGATCCGCCAAGGCTTTTATTTCAAACAAAATCGAAAACGGTTCGGACTCGAAACTTTTCGGTTTTATGAAGCGCAACTGATATCTTCTCTTTATCAATAATATTCGTTATTCATAACAATGCCCCCCCCCCCTCCCTCTTGCCGAAAAATCCTCCTCAGGCCATTTTCATGTGACATCGAGGTCGGTTCATTGGTACATGTGAGCATCATTACAAACAAAGGTGCGCTAACTGGCAGCCACTGTAGTTTCTTCTTCGTCGTTTGATCTCTACTTCACAAAAGTTCCACAGCATTTTCAGCCAGTGCGCTTGTAAGTACAGCATCCCGAATAGTGCTTAATTTTATTTCTTGCAATAACCCTAATTCAGGACATTATTTTACTCGACTCATCGACTCGTATGGTTTAATTCTCAAAATTTTGCTCCTTCCTTAATTTTTTCAAGTCCTTCGTGGCCTGATTACTAAGGTCATAGTTGTCATGACCGAAATTCCAACAACTGGGCTGGTAAATTTTTCGTCTGGAAACTTAACCTCGCTTACAAGACGAACATTGATAGTCGTGGCTTGTTCGACATGGAACTGGAGAGAAACGGGCCGAAATTTCCCGCATGAGTGGCAAGTTCAGCTCGGTGATCGGGATGTAACCTCCCGCCTTAACAAAATTTTAAATTCTTCTCGCCTCCCAAAGCGTTTTACTTCTGTAGCATTTTAATGGTAATGTTTAGGTTCGAGTGAGGCTTCCCAGACCCAGTAATTAAGATGCTACTAGAAACTGAGCACCGAAGCCTCATCGTGGCAGCGAGGTAGATTTTAATCTGTTCTTTTCCTTTCCTCTTTACCAAAATGGTTTCTTCGCATTGCAGACTGATCCGCGTCTTTTTTGGTTATTTGGTTTCCCAAAGAATATCTTAATATTTCAGCACTTATCTTATTTTAGTTTGTAAGTTTATCTGTGGTCGCCACGGAGTTTTTAGTCCAAAATCGCAAACCAGGAGCCCATTTGAACCGACGGTAATTGGTTCATTTTTGTTCCCAAAAAGAGTACGTTGCTGTGATACGTAATTGGGTCTTGAGCAAACCTCTCTCCCGTGTTGAACTTCAAAGCTAAACAGCACTCTCACTAGGCCAAAAATAATAATTAAACAGACATCATTTGACACAAGAAGAGAAATTCAACCAGTAAAAATCCATTCTCTGCTGGTGTAAAAACCAAGCTGTGAAGTTGCAGGTGAATAGTCACTCCCAGTAATTTAGGTGTGGTACGTTTTGACCTAACCTCGTGATGCTCATGACAAGGCGAAATCTCATGGGTGCGGTCAAAGTGAACTGCGCCTCCAAAGTCAACTGACCACCCTTGAGTATAGGTGTGGTCAACATAACATCGACCCTCTGCGCCCTCCATCACACGGGCAGGAGAAATTCGTGCCGTAATGTTATAGGTGGACTGTAAGATGAATTTCATTTTTTTATAGGATCTGATCGGTGTGCACTGTTTACTACCTTTATACAATCTATTTTCCCTTTTAGCTCTTATGCTTAATGATTATTTAGTTTACTTAGAGACTCAAACTACTTTTTCCATATACTTTGATGACAAACACGGCCAACCGTGAAAACCATGAAGACGGCCAACCGTGAAAAATCGAGAACATGAACTGAGCCATATCGAACGAAAAATAATTTTTTTCCGAAATAAATTATCACTGATTCTTCTCAAGATACTTGAATACATCGGTTGTTCATTTATCGCGTGATTCCAAAAAATCCTAAACATTTCTGTAACACCTGGCTAACGTCTTGTCATTTGTTTTCAAGAGGTTTTTTCACAAGTTGTCTTCGATATTTAGAGAAGAGACATTTTGTATTGTCTAGAACTTCGTCCCGGCTTTTAAAAATTAGGTTTCGAGAGTTTGTCTATCGCCCCCCTTAGGGATTTTTGCTATCATGGCTCGTTTCTTCGGAAACATGATGCAATGTTTGGGTTGCAAAAACCGTGAGTTTTTTTAAGTGTTGAAAAGTAAAAATTTCGGCACTTCCGATTGAATATCATATCTGGAGATATAGAAAATTCTCTCTCCCACCAAACATCCGACATCATGTGAGAATTTCACATCAATTAAGTCAGAGTTTAAATTTTTCCCTATTTTTCAGAAACATATGGGAAAAATTTCATAGATTTAACACTCAGGAAGACAGGTTGTTCACGTGGCAACCATATGTATCTATTTACATTCTCCAAAAGTGTTCAAAGGGCACCACAAAAGTCGACGTTTAGACCAATCACAGATAAGCATTTCCTGCCGTTAATGAATATTTAACCTCCTAGTGATAGTAAAAGTGTTTCCCGCCAAGAGGTAGCTAAAAGTTTGTTTGACGGTGTTTTTGTCTAGGAAGGAAGGTTGAGGAGATTCTGATATCAAATTTCCTGTCTGGTAAGTTCCAGTGCTAGCTGTTCTGATGCAATGAACGAACAGAAATTGAAGAGTTCTCATTTGTTTCAATTCTTTATATACTTCTGTCCCGATTTCGATCAAACTGCCTTTTTGAATGAAATTTTTCGTTTTCGAGCAAGACACGTGGAAACCCGATTCTTTTCAGGATTCATAGATTGACCCAGCTGATGTAAGGTTTTATTATCATTCCTTAGGAATCTAACAAAGCACAGCCGTGTAAAAGCTCAGTCTCTTTATAAGCTCACAACTTAAGTCGTACTAATGGCATCGAAGGAAGATGAAGCGGCCGCTGCTCAGCCGCTAACCAGCGATCATGACAAAGAAACGAACGGAGATGCTCTCCCAGCTGTTGAAGTCAATGGACAAGTTGGCCTTAAAAAGGAAGTCACCCTTCTAAATGGCATTGCTCTTGTTGTTGGTGTGATTATCGGCTCTGGAATTTTCATCTCACCCAAAGGTGTCCTCAAATGGACCGAATCAGTCGGGATGAGTTTGGTCGTCTGGGCAGGATGTGGTATTCTCGCTCTCCTTGGCTCCCTCTGTTACTGTGAAATGGGTACCATGATCCCTAAATCCGGTGCTGAGTATTCTTATCTCTACGAAGCCTTTGGTCCTCTACCAGCATTTCTGTACAGTTGGACGCTCGCTTTGATCATTCGTCCATCTTCACTCAGTGTCGTGGCTCTTACCTTTGCACGTTATGTTAGTCAGCCCTTCTTCCCCGACTGCGAAATCAGTCCGATTCCTGTCAGAAAGATCTTAGCAGCAACATGTTTGGGTGAGTATCATGTCCTCAGGGCTACCTTAAAAAAAAAACGTTGATCGTTAGTTAATTGCGATAAAACGTAACCTCTGCTCTTTGAGACAAGTTTTCCTTATTGTGCTAGTGCGATTGCGATGTGCATACATTAGACATCATTTCTAATCGAAATCTTCTGGAGTTTAAAATTAGTTACTTTTCGTAATCCTGGGCTTTACTGCACTAGGACCATATCGTCGATCATGGTCTTATATGTTTCTTTAATGTGCCTCGTGGTTTTTTGTTTACACCGAACAGCTAAATTTTTTTAGCGTGTTATTGCATCAGCTTCGAAACGTGGCCTCATCTGCCTAATTTGCATTTGAAAACGTTTTGTCAGGGGGTATTAAATGTTCTTTTATGTGGGTGGATAATAGCCGACCTCCAGTAGAATTTTTATTAGGTGGGTCAACGCTTGTATTGAGAGAAGAAGGGGTAATATAATTGAGATGATTTTGAAGTGCAGTGCTTAAAGGTAATTTTTTAAAGGTTGAGTGGTCATGGCTATTGTTTCTGCCAAATATCAAGACATTTTAATTTTCCTCTCACGTCAGAGATGAAATTGTGGTCAGATGTATTTTTCAATGAATAGAACAATACTATAACAAACCAAAACGCATAAAAGATGTCAGATAATGCCTTTGTTTTAAGTTTTTACTACACGCACAAGACTAGTGTCTAAAACCATCAACATCTGAATGAGAGCAGTGATGCATAAGGAAAATTATTCAGTAATATGAAGCTACTGTTCTTTCACTCCAGCAGCAGGAAGAATTCTTTTGATCATGGCAATAGGACCATGTGGAGTCCAATTTGGTCTATATTCACATGAGTGGTTAACAAAATCATACAACTGCAAAGTGGGAGTCCGATTTGTCAATCACAAGTATTGCTACAGACAGAATTGGACAACACAAAGTCCTGTTACCAATTAATCAAAACTATGACAAAATTTGAGAAAGAAGCTAGACAGCGGTAGTACAGTTTCATATCAAAAAAGAAAAACAACACTTGTGTCCACTTAGGCATGAAATGTCAACTGTCTCTTTAACTGTCCTATTACACTGTCCAATGACAAGCATGATGTGTACACTGTCCTTTTGGTGCTCAACTGGAGCTGGTGATAACCAATCACATTCAAGAATTTTGTTATAGTTTTCATCATTAAAGAAATTGTATTAATTCAAGAGCTGAATGAAATTTAGGGCAAAAACCGCAATATTCCTTGCTGTTTATAGATGGATCCAGTTATTTTGAAAGACCTTAATTTGCTAGATGTAGTTGCTCTTATTTGTTTTTCTCTTGAAGTTCATATGATACTCTTATCAAACCCTTTTCTCCTTTGAAAAAGCGTATTAGTTGAATTAAAAATCATAAACAGAGCTACAAGCATCATTTCAAGCTGAAATAGTGCCTATGCAAGTACAAAAAAAGTTAATTGCATCAAAACAATTTTAAGAGTTTTGTGTGCAGCCTGAGAGGCCAACTTGTTGTGGCAATATCATTGTTCTTGGATAAACATCAGCATTTACAAAGAAAAAACTCTAATCTTCCTCATTATCTTTGTTTTAGCTCTGACTATGTTTATAAATTGTGCAAGTGTGAAATGGGCCACACGCATTCAGGATTCCTTCACTTTTGGAAAACTTATTGCTCTTGCAATTCTGATCGTGATTGGCCTCATTGAGGTTGGATCAGGTAAGAATAATTTTGTATCAAACCTTTTTACACCCTAACATCAGTACGCGTATTCTCTTTACTGTTCTTTACACAATTTGTAAGGTGCTGACAAGGAGAATTTGTTGAACAATCAAGAGCTTCTTTAGTTGGTGATCATTTCCTTGATTCTCATGACTGTAATGTTTTTTTTTCAGGTGTTGTTGTAGAGAGAAAACAAAATTAGATGCTAGTCACTCTTAGTCACCTTAACTACAAACAGTTTAGCTTCTTGATTTTATTCCAAGCAACTTGAGTTGAAATGTCTTTTTTTCTGTTTTATATTCTTTGTATGAGATTGAGGACCACACAGGAACTGATTACATGATTTCTCTATAGGTAATCTTCAAAACTTTAAGGGATCTTTTGATGGAACTACTTCAAACTTGGCAAATATTGGATTGGCTTTCTATTCAGGCCTCTGGGCTTATGATGGATGGTATGTTTTTCTGTGGAACTTTCTTTGTGTGAGCATTTTTACCATGGAAATACTCTTAACTGATTGTCATGTTTTTGTTGAACTTGTTTGTTGATTGGTTTCAATTTCCTTTATTCTGCAGGAATAGCTTAAATTTTGTCACTGAAGAGATGAAGAACCCAGCTAGGTAAAGAAAGCCATTCTTTTTTTGCAGCTAATCTTGCTTAAGTTACATGTACAGTATCAAGGTAAAGTGAGCAGTCAAGCCAAGCAGCTTGCCCAGGTTTTCATGGCATGAAGCGACTAGAATTATCCTGGGTAGGGTTGTTTGTCCATCAGAGGGTACTGCCCTGCATTTGATCAGGTTCTTCAGACTGTTTACCAGTACCCATCTATACTCCTGGGTGGAGAGAGGCACTGTGCATGTGAAGAGTCTTGGTCATGAACACAACACAATGACTTGGTCAGGTCTTGAACCCAGACCTCTTGACTCAGAGTTCAGTACACTAACCTTTAAGCCATTGCATCTTCCTGTATAGTTATTGTAATAGAATACAGTTGAACCTGTAGTAGGCAGCACCATACTAATGATTACCCTGTATTAAGTGGTCAGTTTTCAAAGTCCAAAATTTTTCTCCCTCAGCCACTGTAATTTTTGCCTCTATCAAGTGGTCACTTGTATTAAGAGGTCATGGTCACCCTTTACTGAGTCTCAATGGTTTGTTTGTATTTTCCTCCTAGCCTGTATTGAAGAGTTACTTAATGGCATTATACATGGCATTATTCAGTGGATTTGTTTTGTACAAATGGAAAGGAATATATGTAATATTTTTTTCTTGAGTTTGATTACTACATGATTGTCACACAATAAGCTTTACTCTAAGAGGGAGCGAATCATTGACTTTTCTAGGAGGATGGTATAAAAGGAATCTCTGAAGTGGTTTCATTCATCAACAATATTATTTTTGTGATCTTCAGGGATTTACCAAGGGCTCTCATGATTGGAATCCCTCTGGTAACCATTGTTTACTTGTTGACTAACATTGCCTACATTGCTGTTGTTGGAGGACATGGCATTTTGAACTCAGGAGCTGTGGCTATGGTGAGTATTACACACAATAATGCCCAAGAGACTTGTTGTTCATTTTGAAAAAATGCATGTAGCAGTTTTGTTGGGTTGGAGGTAAAGACAAGGCAGTTTTCATGGAAAGAAAAAAAGTTATTTGTTTCATAAAAATGCACTTGTCCATATCTTTCTTGGTTGATCAACAAGAGTTGAATTATTGCTTTTTTCCATCTTTCCAAAATTTCTTCAAAATAAACTACAATATAATGTAACTTGCTTGTGACTGGTTTTGAGCCAACACCCAGTTTTTATTAGACTTGGGCTGATGGACAACTACAAAGGTTGAGGTTTGTAGGGCATAAGGCCTTGAAGGAAGGATTGTAGCCATTTACAGAATGTTAGATCAGGTTAAATAGCATATTGGTTCAATGTGCAGGTTGTTGGAGAGGAGAAGATGGGACCTGTTGCTTGGTTGATTCCGATCTTTGTTGCATGCTCCACCTTTGGTTGTGTGAATGGACTTGCGTTCAGTGGTGCGAGGTAAGTCAAATGTTCTTTTTTTTTTCTTCTGTTTTTGCAAGTGTATGCTACAAGTCAATCCTACTGTAAAAAAATTTCACTCAAGCAAACAGTAGCACCTATATGAAGCCTTATGCCCTGTGCAAGGAATTGATGGAAAAAATGTTAATCCAGCATTTGAACACTTCAAAAGTTCAAGTGCTGGGGAGGTTGCTGGCAAGGGGAGAAGGGTAGAATTGATCAATGCAAAATTTGAACCTTGCAATTAATTAATCACCATCATGTAGTACATTTTGCTCACTGACTGTCTGCTGTGTCCATAGGTTGGTATTTGTGTCAGCTCGCAATGGTCACATGCCTAAAATACTTGCCATGGTTCACAAGACTTGTCATACCCCTATGCCTTCCATCATTTTCTTGGTAAGTTTTATAAACATGCATGCACCCTAGAATTGAGAGGTGTTGCCCCAACAAAGTTTGCATGACATTTCGGCCATAGTTGTGAGTAGAAGGGACTCCCAACTGAGAGGCATGTTTCCTTTATCGCACTTCTCCAAAAGAAGAGTTGCTGTAAGTATTTTATGATGAGTTAGATGTTGTTAAAAAGGGCACAAAATAGAAAAACCACAGGCTCAAAAATTGAGCAACTAAACTATCAACTCTTTCTAAAAGGGGATAGAACCAATCAGTTTTGATACCCATTCACTCACCTTAACACTAATGTCCTTGGCTGGAAAAAGCACCCCCTTGTGTAAAGCTAATAGTATCACCCCAAAATATGTTAAAACTTCCATTTAATATGTATTTTTTTAATTGAATTTTAGCATGTCATTGCCATGATCATGTTGATTCCTGACTCCAGTGAATTCAGCACACTCGTCAACTACTTCAGCTTTGCTGCATGGCTCTCATACTTTGCAGTCATCACAGCTCTGATGTACCTTAGGTGGAAACGTCCAGATGCTAAGAGACCATACAAGGTACTTTGATTAGTTTAGATGGTATTGATCTTTGAAATGGTAGCCATTTTTTACTTGGTTCTGACAGTTTTGAATGGTCTCACAAAGCATGGACTTGGAAGTAATACATGTACCTTTTAGACGAAAAAAGTTTTCATTCAGAATCTGTGGTCATTTTCTCCATCATGAGCTTTCTTTGGCCTCGGCATGTATTATTTTACTTTGGTCTAAATCCTCACAAATCATTGTTTCAAGGTTTCATTCCGGTTAACGCTTTACACCCATCATCAGTATGCATATTCTCCATACTGTTCTCTATGCATTTCTTAAGGTTCTGACAAGGAGAATTTGTTTAACAATAAAGAGCTTCTCTAGCCAGTGATTATCTCCTTGATTCCTTTGACTTTGGTGTTTGATTCAGGGGTGATATTGTAAGGAGAAATTAAATTCTTGTCTCTTGAGGTGCTAAAGAATAAAGGGCAATTTTTTCTGCCCCATAAACAATGCAAAATAGTAATATTTAGCTGCGCTCAACAAAGGTGATTTTTTTTTTCTTTTTTACAAATGAACCCTGTATTGACCATACCTGCCTTAGCCTTTTATCTGCCAAACCTCACACTTTTCTTTGGAACAGGTCTGGCTGATTGTGCCTATCGTTGCTGACCTGGCAGCCCTTTATCTGCTGATCACTCCTTTCTGGCAGGAACCTAAGGAGTCTGCCATGGCCCTGATCTTCATCGCTCTCGGCATACCTGTCTATTTCTTCTGTTGTTATTGGAGCAAAACAAAGGATGCATGCGACGGATGCTGTGGTTAGTGTCCAGAGTTCAAAATGTATTTTGAGACATTAGTCGACTGACGAAATTGCAATTTTTATTACATTAGTGAACTAATCTCAACCGACCATATGCATTGTTTGCTGCGAAAGACGTGACAATCAGCTCAGTTGGAAATAAGTGTGTTCCTGCCCAAAGTTATATTTAATAATGCACAAGTTGACTTAGGGTAATTTAATTTTATCAACTGAGTTAATAACGTAAGTTGGTCACCTTAAAGAGTTCAAAAGCTGACGTTTCGAGCGTTAGCGTTTCGTCATCGCTCCGACGAAAGGTTAACGCTCTCCCACCGACGTAGCACCGCAGTTTCTTTAGAAACTTGCCCCCCTGATTTGGAAAGAAATGAAGACCAGATTGACGTAAGGAGGGAAAATTCAACCTTCATCGCTTTGACGAAAGACTAACGCTCTCCCACCGACGTAGCACCGCAGTTTCTTTAGAGACTTACCCCTCTTATTTCAAGTCAGTTGCTTGTTAATTCAGTTCAATTATTTTGGAAAGAAATGAAGACGAAATTGACGTAAGGAGGGAAAATTCAACCTAAGGTTACTGTCACAAGGGTTCTAGTGAAAATGAACTGATCAATAATTCTCTCAATTTGATATATTAGTTAGTTTGATTTATGAGTTCAACTCACAGAATTTAACAAGAGTGTATTAAGCATTTTGTTCTCGTTGCTAATAACTTTGTTTCTCTTGTTAGGACGTTTCACTTACAACGTGCAGAAGTGGTTTAACTTCTTTTTGCCCGGGAGTGAGGAAGATTCAGAGGAAACCATGTTAAAAGACTGATTTTATTTCTTAAATTTGCATGTATTTATTAAGAAATGAAATTCAAATCATCATGCTGACCAAACCTTTCTAAAGCTTAGAAGATTTTCATGCGGCTCTGTAATTTAATTTTTCTTTTTATTTCTGCTGCAGTAAGCAAATAGGATTTACTTTAAGTAGAATCTCAAAGCATTTATTGTGTGGTCACACCAAATTATGGCATGGAAATCTTGTGGATGAAAACTCCACTAGCGCCCATTCATTTGAAATTACTCATTCACTGTATACTCCTGACGTGTTTTGTTGTTGTTGACCAGTGTTAAGTGAGATAAGCTATGATTGTTATGTTTTTTTTCAACTTTTGTTAATTTATTTAAATCATGATATCTGAAAGGGTTAGCTAGCTCAACAAAATGTGGAAATTCACCTACAATATATACAAATTGATTATTTTACGTACGGTTTTGTAGTTGATAACGACCGTGACAGTGACTTGCACGTCTTAATAGTTTTTTTCCTCGATTCTAGTTTTGTAGTTGTAGTGAGGTGTGATGATTTTAAGTACTACAGGGATGGGAGGATTTTACGAAGAGAATTCATTGAGATTATTTTTCAAATTTCTTTAGAAATTATTTGATTGTTCTAGTTTGTAATTGTAGGCTTAAACAGGAAATTGCTGTTTTATTTGTGTCCACTGTGTTAGAAAGTGTTGAAATGCTGCGGAAGATTAGAAGAGTGAAGTTTACTCTTTCCTTATTTATTTGTCTTTAGGCCGAGCAGTATATTAGATGATCTCGAATTTTTGATGTTAGTCTGAGATGAGTCTCTGCTAATTAGTTAATTACGGCAATTGATTAGTGGTGACTTGTTAATATTCTAATTATATCTAGTTGTTACGTGCGTACACGAAGAGAAATCGAGTCAATTCTAGACCATTTATTAAGGAAAAGATAGGATTTATGTTTAAGATAAAAGAGCCAGGTCTTATGAAGGATTTTTAAGGCGAAAAGGAAGTTAATGTTATTTCTCTCTAACTTATTGGCAGAAAGCAAATTAAAAGGGGTTTGCGATAAAAAGAAGTTGTTGGAAGGCCAGACGAAGGCTTGTTAAATTGTTTAGGATGTGTGTAATATTTATTGATATAGTTTGTTCGCGGTTATCATTGAATAGTTATTGTAAAGATAGCAGTATGTCTTTGCATTTAAAGTCTTGAAAGTTGACAGTCGTGAAATATTTTAACTAGATTATAATTGTTGTAGGTTCTATGTGTTGAGCTCTCAGAAAATTGTTAGGTTGAATCGTATTAGGTCAAGTATGCCGAGTCAGGCTGGATCTTCTCACCTCGTAACAAGCTGGGGTGGATCGGATAGAGTCGTCTCGAGTTGATTGCCACTCGGCAATGGCAAACTCTTACTTAACGTGATACGTATCTACGCTTTCACGTCAGCAGAATACTACCCGCATTTTTAATACTCTTAGCTCCTAAGATGTAACTTAGAAAGCGCGACGTCACGAAATTTTGCATGTCGTTCGCTGCAACCTTGAAAATCAGTGTCAATGGCAAAGGAAGCCACAGAAAATTGTTTTGGTAAGAGAGAAAAGCAGTTTGATTGAAAAATTAACCAATCTGGAAAAGGGCTGGTAAAGAATTAGCAAGATTGAAAGGGATTGATTCATGTAGCCTAAATCTCTCAAGATGTGCAAACAGTGACGTGGCAGCTTAAAGAAAAAATATTGATAATTAAATCGTGGGCCTGTAACCTCTGCTATAGGCTTTGGGTTTGACTTGTTGATCGTAATTTTAGTAGTTAAAGTTCTGTGTATGTAACTTGATAATTCTGTGAACTTGATAGCGGCTGATTAAACCGAAATTGACGTGCTTTTTGTCTCCATCATGATATATTCCTGAATCGTTCCCGTCTTTGAACAAACGTCAGTTCGAAAATCTTTCTGTCATCGTTTATGACGAGAGTTTTTCGTGCCCGTGTAAAATGGGTTGAAGTCAGAAGCACATTCTAAGAGCATAGTGAGAAGATGAATCGAAATAGCTTATGAATTAAAAGAAAGAGGAACTGTTTTGATATCTCTGGTTCGCATTCCGTGAAGTTTGAATTCCACATGGTTGTTTTACTTTTGCCAAGGACCCAACCCACATGTCACTGGATAAGTGTATCATTTTGGTTAAGGTTAGGGGTCACAGGTGATGAGTTTTCTTGTCCTGGAGAAGTACTGTTTCAGAAACCACACAATCTTTAGATCTGCCGATGAAAGTATGCGTGATGCTGCGTTTTCAAATTCTTAATAATTTAACTGTTCCAAAATGACGTCTTCAAAGTGCTTGACGCCGCCATTTTGATTTCTTAATAACCTAGCCGCTTATAGTGACGTAACAGTCTCATGAACATTTTACAGATTTAGGTATGGGCCTAAAATTCACTCACACGTTCCATGATAATCAGGTAGACAATTAATTTATGCATTAAAGGTAGATAAACACGTTATCCCCTGCCCCCCTGACAATGTTTGATTTTTTTCCTATTGTCGTGCCGTTGACTATTGTCCATATAACGCCCCTGGTCGATAACTGATGACCTGCGGGAAGCCACAAATATTTTTTTAGGTCAGTCTTTTCAAAATGGTTTTGTAGACAGATCACATTACTCAAGCAGGTTACTGAAGATGTATGTGAGACAAAAAACAAGCACACAGAGTCACAGAGGCTTTTTTCTGTGGTTATGCCACAAAGGGCAAATAACTAAATGCTGATTGGCTGAGATAGAAGGTGTTTCTTTATTAATTCTGGTGCTTGTTCCGGGCAAAATAACTTGAAAAATAAAAAATTAAATTTTAAGTATTAAACCAAAAGTACTATAATCTTATGAATGGCGAATGTTTTTTAGCGGGGCTGGTTTCATTGCTTTGGCGTTGTTGTCCAAAATTAGAATTTAAATCAGCTGATTCGCGCGTTTTACAGTTCATTGACACTAACCGAACACTGAAATGGCTTCCCACGAAATTAAGTAACAGCATGCGTTTTTTAACTTCTTAGTAAAAGATAACTTTGTCATTTTTATCATAGACAAGCATGTTTCCCCATAATTAAGGTTAAGGATTGATATCACTTGTGTTTTTTTAAGTTGCAGAAATTGGTAATTTCCGTAACTTCTAAAACACGCGTGATATGAAATCTTATGTTACTCGGCCTTATGAAATTACCTATACTAAATCCAATCTACGAGTTTTATCACGATGACAAAAGTAACCGATGTAGTCCGTTTCTGTGAAAGATCAGAGACGATTACTTTCAAATCATGATATCAAGGTATGAGAGTTTTCTCTAGCAAATTAACATTTTGGTTACATGCCTTTCGCTCTTCTTAACCACCCTTAACAAATTATATCAGGATTGGTGTTAATAATGATAATAGGTAAAGTAACATTACATTTTTCATGACGAGGGTTGTGCGGCTGCTTGGTGTTATTCCCCAATCTTCGTAAGCCCTTGCCTTACAAGGTATTGGCTCCAGTCCCTTCTCGTGTATTCGTCCTTGTGAAAGTGCCACACAGATCTGGCAATAAAGCGGATACTTTGGCTTCCAAACGTTTTCAATAGCGGTTCCAGTGATATTTTCTATTCCCTCCAATTTCCATGACAAATACTTGTTATACTCAGTCTCATTTCTGCTGAGGTACTTCAAATAATCAGAAAGATCTTTCGGAGTCCTGAAATCACGGACTTTAATGACGGAATGTCGTAGATTGCCGGGCAGGAACTCGTCAAGTTTATCTGTACTCATCACAACGGGAATTGAACCTGCATTCAAAGCATGATTCAGTTGTGCATCGACAAAATAATCACAGTCCTGGTTAAAAAATACCAGAGTAAACTTGTACTGCTTGGCTAATTCAGTTTTCAGTTCTAAGAAGTTTGATCCGTTTCTAGATCCATAGCGTTCCACAAGACCATGTTTGTTCCTGAGACAATCTCCATAAGAATCCACCTGCACAAACTTCATCAATTGCCTCATGTATTCAGTTCGCACGGGCTCACAGTTCGAGAATGCAGCCATTATTAGTTTAGTCTTTTCCTTAAACCTAAGAGGTGGAGTTGCGTTTGGCATATGAAAGGATGGCCAAGGAAAATCGTAATCTAAACGGTAACTTACTAACAGTTTAAATCTGGACATAAACTTGGCGTCGTTCATTACGGGAGTGTATATCGGATTTTCTTGTGTGTAAAGGATCCATGGAACAGATTCTGTTGGAGGTATCATGTGCGAATCCCTGGCATGGACTACAAAGCCGTCTGCATCACAAGCTCGAGAATGGTCAGATGTGACCTGACAGGCCACAGGGCAGTCACTTTTATTCCATTTAAGCTCAATACCTGGCTGTTTTCCGAAAATGGTTGACCAGAACACGATTAGCCACCGATCGGTTTGATTGGGGCTCTTCTTACAACTGAAATGATCTCTTTGTGAAAAATAGTTTTTATCGATGTGATAGAACAGAATGAATACCATACAAACAGGAAGAAACGCAGGCTTTAAAGCACGTGTGTTCTTTAACATTCTAAGTGCTGATGTATTTTTCAGGATTCACCTGTCGAGCAAAACGTGTTTAAGATTAGGCAATAGCATTTGATGTTGTTCACTCAAAGAAAAATTCCATATCTACAAGCAACTGGTATCTTGCGGGGTTCTTTTTCCGCAATTACAATGGCGAAAAAAATAAAAAAAAAGGCATGAAATCTCGCGATTCAAGGTTCTCAACTTCATTTTTTTTCTCGAAATGGCTTAACTTTTGACGACTGCGCGAAAGAAAAGGAATTTGTACGAATCTGGCGATTCAATTTTACCACAGAAGATACAATATAGAACTTACCAGTAAGACCAGTTAATACTTCGTGTATTTTTCGTTACACATCCTGTACGTGTTGTTGTTATTACTAGCAATTAATTTTTTTTTCTGTGATTTGATTTTTTCTATAGGGACTAAATTTACGTGTTAAAACTTAATTTCGCGTTTTTTTTACAATTGGAAAAAACGAAAAATCAAATACCCGTGAAAGTAAGTACCAGTAATTTGTTTATTAAATAAACAGACTTTGTTCAAACTTACTTCCGTACCGACATTCAAATCTTCTGGTGGCAAATATTCCGGCTGTCGATTTTTGTTCTCAGCTGCGAGAAATGCCATCGCCAAAACTAAGTCACTTTTAGTTTATCTTATCGTCAGTTTCGTGGTAATTTGGTGAGTTGATAACGTAAACAAGACGGCCATTTTCGATATATGAAAATTCAAACTAGGCTCCGAGGCTTGGGGAGTAAAACAAAAGAAATCACAACGAGGTTGAGGGATGAATAATTAGTTCCTTTTGTTTTATTCTCCTTAGCCTTAGAGCCATGTTAGAATTTCAATATATCGAAAATGACCTTTTAACCACCGTTGAGAGTTTCCAAGCCGACGGCAGTTCGAGCGTCCAGGGTCAGCCTTTCGGCAGAGCGAATGACGAAGGGCAAACGCTCGAAACGTCAGCTTTGAAACTCTTTACGGTGACCAATTTGCGTTATCGACTCAGTTGATGATACCAAATTAACTTGTTATACTCTCCCACCGACGCAGCACCACAGTTTCTTTAGTAACTAACCCCTTTTTTTTGGCGTGTCCTGGTCATCTTTCGCTTTTACAAAATTGCGAACGTCACTGTCTGTGAGCGCTTGGAATCTTTCAGTGTTGTTGGTAGCCATAATTCGAGAAAATCTCGACTTGGATCGAAAATGGTGAATGGTTTGCACTTCATTCATTAGAACGGCGCGGCGAGAAAGGCGGGTGACGTGTCAGAAGCTGATTGGCGATATTAAACATTCGTAAAGAAATGATCGTAATTTTACATTTCGTACAGTTACGGCTTTTCTCAGGGCTGGAGATCCTTGTAAAACATCGTAGTTTATATGGTTAAGTCTTTTTGGTCATTTACGTAATTACACGAAGATGCATAATGAATTTATAGAATAAACGTCACGACATTGATTTAATTTTTGGTGTTTACGATCCTTTTTTTTTTTTAACGGACGCATTTATTCAAAGGTGGCGATTATTTTCAAATCATGTTGACGTGTAATTTTTGTCCCTTCGGCCGTTCGGAGGTAAATACGTACTTGGTATTCATTTCCAAACTAGCCAATCAGCGAGCGCGAAAAGCATTATTTACTGTGGCCCACAACTGTCACGGCAAAAGAAATAACTTCGCGGCAAAAGAAATAACCTCGCGGCCAAAGAAAAAGACTCGCGGCGAAAGGAAGAACCTCGCGGCTAAAAGGAATGTAAGGAATAACAGCAAAACTAGTCGCTGGTTCCTTCTCATCAGCAGTGTCACTAGTTGTAACTGGTTCCTGGCATTTACGAAGAAAAGTTTTGGTAAAGCCATTTACCTTAAGGACGTAAATCTGTCGCATTTGAGTTCGGTGGACCCGTCTATCCAATTCAACCTTGAGCGTGAAAAGGCAAGAGACAACAAACTAACATAAATCTTTGCGGAAAAGACAATCTTAGTCTTACTTTCATTAATTGGCACCAGCCAACGTTTTGCCCAATTAGGAGTTAGTTCGTATAACCCGTTCGTTATATGCTGAAGTGTTTAAGACGCTCATTTTTCGCTTGTTTACTACGTTCGTCCTTTGTGGACGTAAAACAAAGCACTTTTAGTGAATGGCCTCTCGGGAAACAGCTGGAAAACGAAACTTACTGTTTCCTTTAGGAGCAGACATTTTAAAAGTGTATCACGTTACAATATGGAATGAGAGTATCATAAGGATTTGTATGACAATTTACAGTTGCGTTCTCAACTTAAAGATCAGAACTAGTTTTAAATAAAAACAGACTTACCTCTCTTGAGAAGTTTTTCCTTTGAAACGCGTGAGCTTTCCGGGCTGATTTGAGGCCGACTAGCTCGGTTTTAGTTCATCTGCTTCACGCTCTGTATCTATGACTACTATGTAGATTTTCCTCTACTTTTGCTGTACTAAAACTTAATATTAGAGATGCAGCTTGACGCTTCCGAAAACCACCGTTTTTTTAAACTAAAATCAAAACCAGTATGGCCTGCATGAGCAGAGTGGGATCTTCGCGTGGGCATGGGAGCGAATAGAAGATATTTGTTAGCGCTCTTTCGACCCAGACTTACGCGTTACTTCCGTTGTGCTCACGTTTCGTCAGCGTAGCTTATATAAGGCAGGTAAGACCGGAACGCAGGCTAACGTACATGGAAACAAAGTCCACTCAATAATTTTACATAGAAACCATGCAACGCATGAAAAACATACGGGAACCTGTTTATTTCAGTTAGATTCCAATACATTGTTGTGTTTAGTCATGGTGTAGGTCCCTGGATCGAGACTTTCGACACATGATCAGACCGTCCGCCCATTTGATTGGTAACGCGCTTTGCCATCATGAGCCTAAGAGGCATGATAAGGCGGAGACCGTGGTTCAGTGAGAATGACCAGTGTTGCTCAGAGTCCTCTATAAAAGATACAGAATGCATTAGGAAGGCTTGGGCACTAGTTCTCAGACGTTCTTAGGTTTGTTAATCTCTAAGCTGTGACGTCGACGTTATTAAATCGCGCCCATCACTTTCCAGACAGACGCGCGGTTGACAAAGCAATGACTGATACTAGTCGCTGAGGCCTGGGTTGATCAATGGAATGTTTCTATTCAATACGCCTTTTCCGAGTTCTAAAACCCTCGTTTTCAGAATAAGGGTAAGTGCAAAAAATACCTGTTTGCGAAGATGGGTCAAGTCTGTGGAAAATAGAGTATGATTTTCACATCAAAAGCTTTGCAATTACCCTCCCTTTAAAACAGGGGCTTCGTGCATCTTGAAAATGGATCCGCCATTTTAGCTTCAGGTTCTTCGGATTCTTTGATAATAATTTATTTGTAAGAACCTTTTCGCGTCTTAATATTCACATGTCACATATGATGTATATCATGTACCATTTAAGAAGAAAGTTTTCAGCAGTCATTTATTTCCTAGCACCCAAAACCAAGTAATAATTTGTGACTACCGTTTACTGCGTAAATTTTTCTGTACGGCATTCCACCAATTATCGACATGACTCGTTTTCTTGAGGCGGATCTCTTTACTGGGGTGGAACACGTTGGTTCGTCTGTCTGTTTGGAGATTAGTTCTGCTGAATATCTAAAGCAATAGAATAGTGTGTTAGTAAATCCTCCACAGAGTATATTGGGTCACAATGACACGTAACCTAGCCAGATACGCTTTCATCAAAGGAACCATAGACTCTCAACCTGTCTTCTCTCAAATGACTATGAATATGTGATGTCAAATATGTGAACTGCGGGTTAAGAAATGAATAAGAAAACGATCTTGGCAGTACTTAACGTGACTTAAGAAGTAGTGGAAATAAGGCCCGAAATAAGAAATAAGTACTGCGGTGCGGTACTTGAAACAGCTGAAGTGGGGTATGGACACCATTCGGTATGTGTCCTCCAAATTGACTTGGGGTTACAATTGATGATAAACTCTCTTGGTCTCAGCATGTTGCATTGGCTAGATCTGCAAATGCCAAAGTTAAAATGTTGAACCTATGTACATCTATCTTGGAGACTTTTTACTATAGGATAGTTATACCAAGTGTTCTATATGGAATTGCAATTTGGGGTCTGGATCCAAAAAGATCTAGAAATGATTCACATCAGGGCTGCCAGGCTAATTCATAAGATACCAAATAGTTTTGGGGATAATGATGTACTTTCTAAGGTTGGCTGGATGCCTTTAGAGTATTTTTATAAGCTACGTATCTTAACTATTACATATAATGCTTATTATAATTTAGGGTTGCGGGAAATTAATTGTTTGGTGACCAAGAACTCTAACAGTTATAACCTAAGGAAATCCCTGAATGTTGTACTTAATAGGCCCAAAACCGAATTGGGTCGTAGGTCCTTTGCTCATAGATCTGCAGTAGCATGGAATGCACTTCCCGATAATGTTAAAGATTCTCCAAATTTATCTATTTTTAAATATAACTTAAAACAATCCAAGCAAACTGTTATGAATATTAATTTTGAAAAGGGAGGTAATGTTATACAAAACATGAAACCAAATTTTCACTATTACTAAAACTTTATGGTTTACTTGATTTATTCAACTTATAAATTTTATCATATCTGTATTTTATATAATTATAGACTAATTAGTTTAGGCAGGTCCACATCAGCTGTAAAGTTGCGCAAATTTTAACCTGCGTTATCAAATAAAGTTATGTATGTATATGTATGTATGAGCTAACAAGCCAACTGTCATGATGTTGGCTTGTAATAAACCCGTGAAGGGATGAATAAACGACTGTGAATGTATGAAGATCATATATGTGAACTTCGGGTTAAAATATGAACATGAAAGCCACCTTTGCAGTAATGAACACGATTTTAAGCAGTGGTGAGAATAAGGCCATTGCCCTCACTGGTATCGCAAAGGTCATGGGTTCAAATCCCATATAAATATACATACATACATACATGCATACATGCATACATGCATACATGCATACATGCATACATGCATACATGCATACATATATATATATATTATTTTCACTGCTGCTTAAGTAGAGTTTATTGCTGCGAAGATCACTTTCATATTTATGTCTTCTCTCAGTCATCTTTAATATCTTTTCTCTACGAAAATCTTACTTACAACAAACTCACTTCAATCTGGTTAGCTCTGACCGTCTGACTCTTACTCTGTTCCGTTTCTCTCTCTTTGATTCTCACACACTGATTCTCACTCTTCTTCTTCTCACTGATTACACATTTTACACTCTCAACTGAAGTGAATTCTAAAATACATGTTCATATATTCATCTAGTCTCGTACCCAGACTTTCCACGGTCATGTCAGTTACACGGTTGGATCTGGGTACGAGATTAATATTCATCAGCGGTAAGCATTAGTGGGCATACTGGCCAATTAACCTTGGAAGGTTAAAAATTTTTTGTTAGAACTCTAACCCAAACACTTTTACATGAGTCTCGCTGCGTAAGTAGTTCACGCGGGTCCAAATGAGGGAGGTAAACAACTGAAGCACTTCCACTTGTGAATGTTACACAAGACTGTCATAAGTTGGGAACTCATGGCGACGGCTTAAACCTAAATAAATTTGGACTTTGAATTCGTAACTACAAGTTAAATGTAAACGAATAACTAAATCATACTGAACTAACAAAATACTTCATCACAAGTGTAACGCAAATTTTTTAACCTTCAGACTTGCGCTTGATCTAACTATATTAGTTTATAGTTTACAACAGTTTATGAAATTTAATTATCTTCTAACTGAAAGCGTGCAACAAATATTTAGCGTATATGTCGAAGGAATGAATGAACAGAAAAATCCATTTCACCACGATTCCTTATTTGAAACGCGACTGATGTAAAAGCTTGCTGGAAACGAGCTTCTGTCAAAGGAAGCATCCGCCAGCTCATGTGATATCTTATCAGACGTTGTGGTGTGTAGTATCGCTGAGTGTTTTAACGAGTTGTGCCGCATTTTGACGAGCCCGCAGGGTGGGGAAGTGGGAAAAGGGAAGCAGTTAGAAGAGCGTATCGCGCACAGCCGACCGGTTGGACACGTTTTTTATTTACAATACAAAATAACAAACTGAACAATATCGCAGGATATCTGTCCTCGATTCGCGCGTTATTTGTACTCTATCTGGTACAGTTGGATGATAATCATTGTGGATACTTACATCATGGCGTTGTAAATTTTGAAAGATTATTTTACGAAAAACTGCCCTGAAAGTTCTATTCCAGTGATTTTTGTATTAGATAGCTGTTTTACACAGCGTCACGTCAATTTCCTATATCTTAATTATGACCAGTGAATACAAATATGGGAAAAATAAGAATTTAAAAGATTTTAATACAAATTGAGTGTGTTACATATGTGCCAATGACTCACTTTTTCCATAGGAACATCAGAGGAGTGAAGACCTGAAGAGCTGCCTCATGAAACAAGCCTCTCTCTACGATTCCAGTGTGTACCAACCCTACAATGTTTTCCGCTAGATCGTTGGCAATGTTGATCTGAGATAAAAAGTAAAATTAGTTTGATTGTACTTAAGGTAAAAAGTTTAAAAAGCAGAGAGGATTTTAGTGCCCCTTTCAGCTGGGATTTGAAGGGTTAAAATGTTTTTTTCTTTTTTTGGTCTTTTGTCTTTTTTTTTTACCTGGAAAACGTGATTTGGCTCATTGGCAAAGAGAAGTTAATGAAAAATTAAGGGTACGGTACTGGAATTCAGAAAAAAAACTTATTGAACCGAAATTTGAATACTCAATTGCCAAAACACACGATATCGATAAACTGTTTTCTGGAATGATTGAAAGAGGACATTTGAGACTCAGTGTTAAAGCAAAGAGCACTACAGACTCGTATACCCATTGGGTGCATATTTTTTTTAAGGGCTCGATAAACACAAGCACTTAGAACTGTCTGGACTTTCTGCCCGCTTAGTTCCGTCGAAAGGATGTAATGGATCCTTTACACTTCGCTTCTACGAAACAAACCTATATTCCTGGGGAGGAAACCAACCTGTATTCTTGGGGGAAAGTCCGAATCTATAAAACACTTCACAATAGTGCGAGCTTTGTCCAAAAGTAAATTCTCATCATCTAGCGTGTAGTTCCCAGACATCGCACAAGCAGCAGCATTATCAGCTTGATCTTTGAAGCGCTCAACCTCCATCCAGAACTCCAAGTCGTTTATCAACCGATCAGTGTATACAAACTGCTTATTTACCACTCGCCCAGTAGGGTGCGCTACATGACGGCGGAGGTCTGAAGAAAGAAAAGTTCAATGAGGAACAATGATTCCGTCGAAAAAATTATTAAGGTATTAAATTGCTTTCTTTTTCTTCATTGGGTTTGTGGAGAATTAGAGAATTCTTCCAACTCTCCGTGTGTTTAAACGAAGTAAGGTAAACGTAGAAAAGCCAAAAAAATCCTCTATAGCTTGAATTTAAAATATTTCCTTAAAAAGCCGAAAATTTAAACGTCAAAAGTGGACACACCCATGGGGAATGGCCGGGTGACCGCTCAATGCTGGTTGACCACTTAGGACAGGTTTCACAGATTAGGAGTATTATGAAAAAACGATAAACAACGTCACTTTATGCCATAACTGACTACTTAATGTTTAGAATCTGGCTCAAAAATACCAGTTAATTTGATTTTGGGAGAGAAACATGGATTAAAAAATAATTTGAAAGAGTATTCTTGAGTATATTTAAGTACTCCCACTTTCAGTGACCGTTTAATGCAGGTGGAAGACAATAAAAACAGGCCGTTATGACTAAACAAAGGGTGAACAAACCGCTTAATAGAGATGAAAAGTACAGTGATTAAGGGAAAACAAATTCGGGACATGGAAAACTGACCGCCTAATACAGGGTGACCGTTCACTGCGGTTCCGCTTGATACAGGACTGCACCCTCATCTACTAAACGCGTCTATCGATTCAATTTAGAGCGCACGTTTATCGCAGTTCTTGCATAAAAAAAAGTATAAGGTTTTTTCTCCTTCTTCCTGAAAATCTTTGAAATATTACATATTTTTTTTCTCTGTACTAGCGATTAATATGTGAGCTATATTCAGTACTCACTCTGTTCCATAGTGCTCTTTGCTTCTTTTCTCAGAAATACTTTAAAGTCACGGAGAGAGGGGGCATGGCGAATTCCTCGTTGGAAACATATGATGTTATGAGCAAACATGAGCCACATCTCTTTCTGAAGGAAGAGAAACACAAAAACAGCCAAACCTTAATTATGACCTCTTTTATTAGAAACAAAACCATCCGTTTGGAGTCATAACTAACCGTTTTTCCGTGAGCGGCCATCTTGTAAACTCCAGCAAGAGTGTTTCTTATGGCGTACTTGGTAGAACTTTCGCGATCCGCCTCGTCGTCCGGGAAAGTGGCCACAAAATCAGCATACCTAATGATAGCACAACCGTGACTATATTTTTTTTCGGATTTAATCAGGGAAAATGTTTTAATTGAACACACAAATGTCCATCATAACTTCTTCATAAATAGGAACAATCTCTCTTGCTCCCCTTTGGTCACCATGTTGTTTTGGCACCAATGCTTAAGATTTATGAGTTTTAAGTTTTTTACGGGTTAAGCCGTGAGTATTTAATTCAAGATATAGGATTTGGTCTATTCATAATCCAGGGGCGTTCTGCATACAAATTAGCTGGGTTTTAAAAATATATACTCAAATATGTTGGGTCTTTAAAATTTCTAAAGCAACTTTTCCACTGGTGAAATCAGAAGAAAGCCATTTTTTTCACCGCAAGGACTCTTGAACCGTTGGACTCTTTTTGCCAAGTGACACCATTTAATAGCTTTTTATTCAGTGATACATAAAATATCTTAAGAGATGTTTTGCTATACGAGTACTGTTAAAAAAAAACCATTTTATCCTACGTAAGGATTAAAACACTTATATACAGCACAAAACGGAGACTGTACCAGTTTTCCTCCATGGATCGTGCCACGCAGGCCTGAGCCGAGACAAGCATTGGAGCGGTCACTTTGTCCAATAGCGGGATGTCCCGGATGATCTCAGCTTTGCAATGTAGGTACTCAGCTACAGAGGAACAAATTGTGCATTAGTAGTATATCAGGAACCTTAAAACACGGTTCACAAACAGCTGCTGCTTTGGCTATCACAAACGTTCACTATAAATTCTACAAACTACTCTCAATTCTGCAAACAAGGTGTCAAGAGTTGGAAAACGAGGTACGCATTTCGACTACGTCAGGGATGGGCAACGTGGTTGCTAAGCAAGATTAAAATGGCGGCCTATATTTATAAAATTTTAAGCTCATTTGAAGAAAACTTTGTGAGGTGAAGGTCACTCTTTAGGATCACAAAACGCGGTCCGTGTCATTTTTTTTTTATGTACAATTATTGATGGTGGAGAAAACTTCTATCTTTTCTTCCAAAACTCCTCTTCTAAGGGCTCTAAAAAATATTGACTTCGTCAAGATCTAAACACTAACCAGGTGTTGTCGGAATGTTGATAAAGTATTTTTTTGTTATAATCACAGCCCTGGCTTGCCGAGCCTTTCCGTCCTTGCAGTTTGTTCTCATGTTTTCGACCGCCTGCCAGAACATGAGGGGAGCCTCACATCCTTTGTCGGATAAGAAACGTTTGAACCACGTCAACTGAAGGTTGTTATGCAAGACCTCGTTAAAGCATCTGAAAGACCAAAGGAAAAAGTTATCAATTAAAATATTTGTGTGGTTACTAAGTCGTTAGTGCTACACTCTTTTGTTGGTAAAGGGCGTAAAATACAAGCACATGAAATCCTTCTTTTTTAAGGGAAACTGTTGATCTCATTAGCAATTCTCCTTACTGTCTCCCATACAATTCTTGTGATTTTAGTTGGAAGAATTTGGCTTTGGATCAACTAATAATCTTCCAATTGATATTTCTCTTTATTCTCCTTACTTGTATGCTTGATAATGTATTGATATTGTAAGGAGAAATTCTGTCTTAGACACTTATGGTAGTCAGAGGGTTAATCAGTGTTACCTTGGTTTCGGGGGTCTGATGCTCTTGCTTTTACCCTTCGCTCTTTCCTCGAACGCATCTTCTCCAAACCTGATCGCGTGACCGTAGAAGTGCGAAGCCCTCCTGTTCTGTTGCGTGTTCTCCGGTTGTTTATCCTTCAGACTCGGAAGATCAAAGTTCTCCTCGTTTGCCTCGCGTTCATCTTCGTCTTCGTCTTCGAGACCGAAAGAAAATCCTAAGGATATAAAACCAACTGATAGTGAGTATGTATTTAATTTGGATTACTATTTCAAGCGACACCCACGTCCTTGCTAACCTAGTCAGCAGGGAGTTAAACTCGTTTTCTCCTACCGGAAAATCCAAGCCCAACGGCCACTGAGAGGGCATGCTGTGGCTTAGAACAGTCGGTTTCCCACAGTCCAGCAGTTGTCCCATCTGGTTTGACTTTCATTTTTTTTCTCGCACTCTTCCTAGGAACTCCCTGTAAAAAACGGTGAAATAGTGTAAATGAAATATGGTAATCATTTCTCTTGGGACAGAGGCAGCAACTCTAATGATGGTCAGTGAACTATTTGACAAAAATCATACGGAAGGCTTCACGAAGTACTTCTGCTGCTTCACTTTGCTTTCTGTCGCGATTTCAAAAACAAATTATGAGTTGAAAAAACAAAAAAAAGAAACCACGGCAAGAACAGCAATCTACGTTGCAATATCCATCCTGCTCCTCTCTCTACGAAAACCTGAAAATGTTGTACCCAAGTCATTCAGAATGAAGGTCGAGCTCGGTAATAATGATTTTAGACTTGTAAAAAGAAATTAAGAAAAAAAATTGTTTTATTTTGACTTTTTCCTGGATGCTACTGATCTTCTTCCGCAGCTTTAAGTAATTTTGATAATTCCGAATTAGTTTTATGAAAAACAACGAAACATACAATGATAAGTGTAAAAATGAAACGAAAAAAGAAAAAAGGAATTTGTTGAAAGGAAGAAGGGAATCAAATTGCAACGTTCTGCACAAGGATCTGTGACGATTTATTTGTTACTTCACTTTCTAAGCTGCAATAATCTTACCACAAAATTAACAAAATGATCTTCGTCAGACTGGATAAATTCACTCCACAGTGCGGTGACAGTCTGTGAAAAGAGGAAGAAGGAAAAATCTACCCTGAAGTTAACAATTTTCGTGCATTTTATACAATGAAATGTCTCTTAACGAACTTTCTCAATTGCAGACAGCTTAGACCGCCAAACTCCATTGAAACTTCAAAATAAACTCTGTATTTACATATTCCGGTAGGCAACCGTGGTTGTTCTTGTCAGGTTAAAATTAACACACAGGGTAATTAAGTACTATTAACTAAGTTGAAAACGTAAATTGGACACCGTAAAGAGTTTAAAAGCTGACGTTTCGAGCGTTTGCTCTTTGTCAGAGCGATTGGAGGAATTGTGGGTTGTGTATGAGTTTATATGCGGAAAATGGGCCTACGCTATTGGTGGGAATATGGTGACGAGAAAACAAGAATAAGTTAGTTGAATGGAAAGCACTCGTTGATACCGTGGGGGTTAAGAGTGCCGATTTGAAAGATAAATTTTTGTTCTAGAGTTTTGCGGCTTTCTGAACTGCCTAGATGTAGGGGAAGGCCGCAAACTTCCATATGCTGTTTTGAATGATTAGGGAGATTCGAGTGTCTAGCGACTGGTTTGGATGTGTCCTTGTCATTTCTTTCTACCTCGCGAAGGTGTTCTCGGAATCGGTCACCTAGTCGTCTCCCTGTTTCACCAATGTATAAAAGTTATACATTGGTGAAACATATAAACCCACACATAACCTACAATTCCTCCAATCGCTGACCAAGGGCCAACGCTCGAAACGTCAGCTTTTAAACTCTTAAGGGTGGCCAATTTACGTTATCAACTCAGTTGATAATACTAAATTACCCTGATATACTCTCCCACCGACGCAGCACCACAGCAGTTTCTTTAGAAAATTGCCCCCTTTATACAATTTAGACACTTCCTTGGTGTAATGAGCTTCCGTCGGTGGATAACCCCTTTTAAAATTCTATCAGCCTCTTAATCTTAATTTCAATAAATCGACTTAACATCGCTGTCCCTGTATCTCTACAGTGCGCTAAACAAAGGTCCATATTTAATTTTAATGTTTTGTCGTCATTCGCATACTGTCACCTTTCGCAAACCTTATTATCAAGGTTATCCTCTGCTAACACCCTTGTGGCCACTTGAGAGAACTTAATTTTTACGCGGTCAGCTGTCTTTTCCCAAGTGAACCCGCTTAAAAGAACTATCATGGTCTTCTCCCTTTGTGTCAAGGTCTTATTAGCCATACTTTTTACCTGCACGGACGTTTGCAACACAGTTGACAACAATTGACTACCACGTTCTAGAGGAAGAAGCCGCATTAAATCAGCTCTGGTCTGTGGGCTCATTGTTACTTTTCTCGGGGAATCTGGGGCAATGTAAGTGGCAATTAGCGTCTTTCCCAAATTATATTTGCTGAGGCTGCCAAAATATTCCCTAGGTGACAAATACTCTTGGGAATCTTCCCAAAATTGAAGACATCTAAGGGCTGCTTCTTCTCGCGTTTTCTTTAAATATTCACTGAGAGGTCCACCGGCCAGTTTGTCTGCAGTTAGGGCTAATGATGCTGTCAGATTTATATCTGAAAGAATGAAAGGCAACACCGTGAGTGTTTGCAAAGTTTTATCATCCAAGATTTTGCGTGTAACATAGGGGAGGGAGTTTCAATCGATCGAGCACCGTGAAACTACATCCAAAGCAATCAATAGGCCAATAAAAGCTGAAAGGGTGCCAATTAAAACTCATGGTGAAGCAAAAACACTTCTCGAAGCGCAGGAAAGCTTGGGGGAACTACTCACGTGACTAAATTACTCAGAACCGCCAATCAGAACAAAAGAAAACATCACCAGGAACCAGTAAGAATTTACAGAATAAAGAAAAGAACATCCTAGATGGTGTGAAAACGTGTAAAACCAAGTTTCTGATTGGTTGAGAAGATGGCCCAAGTTTTACAGACCAATCACAGAGCGTAGTAAACCATAATAAGTACAGTTCCCTGATTACTTATAACTCTCAAGTTAGAGCTGTACGTTTGAGATAAGTCTATTTACATATAATTTAAGTTATAGATGATATAACGATGTATATACGCATCACTCACCTTTGTTAGCTTGCTGAATTATACAGGGTTCTCCGTTGGAATCCCTGGGGTAAAGAACACGTGGTTCCCCGACGACTGATGCTGTTTCACTCCCAGTTTCCTTAAACGGAATTATATGCGAGGCGGAAGCTTGTCGAATGGCTGTGCTAACAGTTATTGTAGGTGTCCCTGAAAAATAAAAAGTTTCATCAAGTGACTTACGAAAACAGAGAAGCATCATAAATATATATATATAATTTTCATCACTGGAGTCGCTCCTAAAAAAAATCATTCGTTAACCTAAGTACACAGGAGGAATAAAAACATACAATGGATTAATGGATATATTTAGGAAACAAAAAAGAGTTTAATCAGATTAGTGAAAGACTAAACCATTCGAGTGGTTGCATAAATTTGTAAGTTGACTTGGGTTGTAATAAACCTCAACTTTAAACCTCTAACTTTTAAGTCAACCCTTTCGTAGGATAATGGCAACAGAAGGTTTTTTTTCACATAAAGTCCTACTGACGGTAGCTTAAGAAAACGTTGACCTTTGATTTTGACAATGAACGTTTTCATCGACTCACCTGATGAGGACCTATTTGATGAGGTGGTCTCTGCCGATGACTCATAAAGTTCTTCATCCTGTTCCTCAGTAATGGTGTTTCTTTCTGATGCCAAGGCCTCGTAGAAGGTCTTAAGCTTCCTAGGCGCTGACGAAGGCATTTTGGCGAAAGGAGGGTTGAGCATGGGGAGAGAAACGAGTAATTCCTCCTCGGATTCATCTATAACTATGAAAATATTATTCAGTTTCAAACGAGCAGGCAAGATGTCTTACGGAGTTGATAAATGAGAAATTGGAACTATATCTCGACCAACAAAGAGAGGGTCGCGCAAACAGCTATGCACGCGAACTATGCGGGGATCTGGGTTGGAGTCTGGACAAGGAGAGCCTGCATTATTTAGGGACCTTAAAGAGTCACAAAGTCGACTCCAAAGAGGACGTCGATCAAAAACTGAAATTACATTTTTTCCTAGAATTTTGCGATTGGCACCTTGTGGTAGCCTTCTATTTAAAGCGCCAGACCAATCACGAAGCGAGGTATGAAAAATCATAGCTGCAGGGCTTATTTGGGGGAATTAGCTCCTTGTCGTTTGACGGTCTTGTTTTACTTGTCAGAATAAAGTGACAATAAAATTCTGGTAAAAAAAATCAAAGCTTGAAAGCACCTTTCTTCTCGTTGGTTTTTTTCTCCTTTTTCTTCTTTTTAAACCACCTTTGCTTGCCATAAGTGGGTAGTGCAGGATCTGAAGCAACTAAGTTTTCCGGAGGCGAAACAAGGCGAGGTCTTGAACCTTCAGAGAACGACTTACTGCAGACTGTGGGACTTACAGAATCCGGCGAACTAGACACAGACCAAGCTTCCTCTTCCTCTTCCTCTTCTTCTTCAGGGACTGGACTCGAAGGTGGAGCTGAACTAATCTCCTCGTATCCTCTTATCTATTGTGGGAAAAAAAATGGATGTTTACCCATCAATCAGACAACTAAAATTGGTCAAAAAAGTTTGGATGGATACATACCGGATTATCGGACTCAGACGACTGAGAAATTATTTTCCTTAAAATACCATTAGCCATATGATGTTAGGTCTGAGTTATCTTATCGCCCTCCTATAACACGTACCAATAATATTAGGCGAGTGTTGCTGTAGATCTAAATCAAGAGTTTAGAATCTCTTGATATGCATTCTATCCACGCAATGGCTTCTCGATTTCCAAGACCTCCGGATACGGAAGTGTGAATCATTATCTTCCCTTTATAGTATCTCACAGCTTCAATAAATGCCGAGAAATTTCTTCTTTAAGGAATGCTACAATATTCCAAAGGAGATGGCTGGCAGGCTCTGTTAAGAAGGTACCCTAGAATTGTTTGTGTTGTTTAGCCCCTGTTTTTGTTTGCGAATGGAATGGCTTATAGACTACTAGAAATAATTAAAGATGAACAACAACAAAAAAGAATTTGACAATCCTTCAAATTAAAAACTAAAATCATATTTTTTACCCCGCCTGACAGTTGTAGCTCCATTGGCATATCATGAGGCGGCATAATTTTATGTCCATCTTCGGCGGGACCGTCGACTCCCGCCCAGAACCATTGTCTCCATTCTTCCAGTTTCTCCTCCCTACTCTCAGAAGAGGAAACGGCACAAAGCTTCAACAAGGAATTATCGATGTCTTGCTCAGAGCTGGTTGTTGAAAGCTTATCATCGTCTTCAAGAATTGGACTTATACTTCTGTTTTGCAATATTAAATCCGTAACTGAAATGCCTCGCTTTTCAGCGATTACTTTGAAAAGAATTTTCTTATGCTGTATGTACTTCGGTAGCCAGTAACTGCTCAAACGTTCCAAGGCCATCTTCTGCACGGGGAGGAAAACATTTTCGGAAAATATCGAGGAATCAGAAAGATACATTCGTTTTGTGATGTTCTTTGGAATTCTAAAGGAGGACTCTCGCTCCCCCTGGCGGCTCACCCCGCATAAACTCGCCCACTTCATGATCTCCGGGAGTTCCCAGGGAGATCCGCTTCGTAAATATTTAGCCTGAATCTCTCGGAAACTGAACCTCCTATGCTCTTTCCTTGTCACCCTGCGATATCGCTCGGCGTCTATCCAAAACATCAAGGTTCTCTGCCCTGCTGTGCCGCGTAGAAACAATTGCAGACTGCGCATGTCCTCCACGGTGCGTAGAAAGGTCCTTGCTTCATTTCTGTTCACTGACGTACCTAAAAATACCAGTTGAAAGAAATTGAGGTTGGAGTTTCATGATCAAACTACGATCACTTTTAGACGCAATTTTGGAACAAGTATTGAAACTTACAATGGTGAAAAGCTGCAAGGATAAGAATCAGCGGTTTTGGAATCTATCAAAACGGTTGGTTGCAGTAGACGGTTATTCTGTGTGTAACATGTTTCGAGGATTCTCAGCCGGCGAAGGCGATTGAAAAGTAGGCTGAAGAGGGAGAGTGGAAAAAAGGGAGTTCCATTTTTCCTCCCCAGATTCCCATATTTTTTATTTTTCTCGGATTTTTGTCTACAGTTTTTGGTTTTGTTTTGTTTTTTATGTTTTTTCCCTTTTTTTATTGGAGAACCTTCGTTTCTTTAACCAGATTAATTTTTTTTCGAATTTAGCAATCGCCGAGGAGAGCCTTTTTTCTCGATTCTATGACATACGTTAAGGTTATTGTATGTTAGGACAGCTACTTACCTGAGTAATCAGTAGCATCGTGAAGCTCAACACATAACAAGTACACAAGAAAAAGATCTGTTTTCCAAAAAAATGGCATTCTTTCCTTCTGTACCCATTGTTTGATTCGATAATCTGGTAAATGCTATGGAAAGAAGGTAATCTTGCATCACTAAGTTTGATAAAAACAAACAAACAGACCAAAAAAAAACCAAAAAACAAAATGAACCGATAGAGACCATCGACCAGGATATGTCAAGATCGGAAGTATGTTTCCTTAGACGTCCGCGTCGTAAGCTCTCACGATTTCTTCGGCCGAACTAACCTCGCAAAGAAAAAAACCTTTCGACCAATGTCCAACTATCTTGAACCCGCTTGGTCAATAACGCATATCAATACGAAATATTATATCGATTTTAGCTATCACGCCGACGTCTCCGAAAGAAATAGCTTCAAGTAACTTGAGTGATTTTAACACATCCGAAGAACTGCTACAGAATCTTCCTCGTCTATCTTATCGTCTACTCCTATCAAATACAAAATGAAAATCTCGCCTTGATAATTTTGCTCTAAGCCTTAATTGGCCGGCTTTTATGGGATATTTTCCCTTGTTCTGATTGGTTCTACTGATTACTTAAGTCTTACTTTTTTGACATTCGATCAAAATGTGCGAAATAAAAAAGTGGAAAAAAGACTCGTCATTCCATAATACGAATTGTTTTTTTTATTTTAAAAAAGAACCTGGACCTGAATTAGTCTGATGTGTTGATTCTCATATTGTGGAGAAGGTTAGCGATAAAAAGCTTATGTTACTAATTTAGAGCAGTTTTTGGCTTTTTTTCCGTTGAAGAGCTAAGAAAGAATTGTGAAAAAAAAAGGAAATGTTTCCGGCAGGACTTGAACCTGCGATCTTCCGCGTGTAAAGCGGACGTGATAACCACTACACTACGGAAACCACGCAGTACAAGGTGAGTAAAGCAAGAAAATACAAAAACTTTCTGAGTGTTGTCCTTACTTTTTCAGTGGCACATTACACTAAAAAAGCGTAGTCAATACCCTTTTCCTAACCCAAGTCGAGGTGCATTACAGGCTACGAACCGGTCTAGGAGCGGTTTTTCGTTGTAAATTTCAACTCAGACGGAGCTCTAATAAATTTTCAAAATTAAATGTTTTGAGGAGAACCGAAAAGTAAGTCTTTAGCTGAATCAGTTCGAAGCGTTACTTACATAACATGTTCGTGGAGGGGGAGGAAAAACACTGAAATAACCGTCTGCTTGATTGTAGGTCAACCTTTTTCCAAACACCTGTTTGGTAACGAATGCATCAAATATGGAGGTATTAGTACTAATTGTTATATTAGTATGTGTGCCATGATTGATCAATTCGGCGGTCCGTACTTCTTTGTGTGTCAAGTGCTTTTTTTCAATTTAGATCTTCCCCTTCTGTTTAAACCTAGAGATGTGATAAACATATTAATAACCTCGTTTTCTTGGTCTGTAATGTAAGTTACGTAACTTCGTTCTTTTTGCGCTTGGATTTATGGCCTGCTTTGTGCTTGGGCCTTAAATCCAAGCGGAAGAAACTCAGTCCGTAACTTAGAGTACTGACCAAGAATATGAGGTTAGTAAGGAGATATATCTCCGGTTATTACCGATGCATACTCTCTGCACCATGTCTTAATAATCCAGGACAGTAGAAAAGAGAGTCAACTAGAACTTATGCATATCCTAACTGAACATCGGGGCCTAGTTGTCCCAAGGCCGGTTAGCGCTAATCAAGCTGAAATTTTAATCCGGGTTTCTTTATTCCTTTGTGGAGTAGGCTTTTCGAGATAATTTTCCCTGTTCTTTTTTAGAGCATCAGATAATCAAATTCTACAGAAAAAGAAGTATGCTGAATTTTTTATTTTTAGCCTTTAGATTTCACATTTATCCTGGGTTAACCCAGCTTTGAACAACCCGGCCCTGGTTGGAAACCGCTGATGTTAGATCTAGACCAGCAATAAGCGACAAAGTAGTGAGGCAATTGACTGCGAAGACTGTAAAATACTGATATATTATCTAATATTTTCTGGTTTCATAAACAATGGTAGTTCTGTAAACCTTACCGGCAGTGAAAGAAAGGTGTTCAAGAAGTCAACAAACGTAGCTTTACTCAATAGCTTCTCAAAAAGACCTTCACTTGGAATCCCTAGTCAAGAGAAAGAATGAGGCTCGTTACAAATTCATAACATTAAAAAATTGAAAGAACGACAAAAACATTAGAGTCGATTATGAAATCTGACCAGTATCTGAGTCTATCGGTATTTCTTCCATAACTGTCAGAGCTTCAACGCATTTTCCTAGTTTGGTAATTCATGGTGTAGTTGTTGTTTGTAGTTTCCATGGAATAATGGTACGCACAGAGCCACGTAACAATAAACGTCATGCGCGCGCGGAGAATTGACTCAAAATAGCGCGGGCTCGACCAATATTTCCCGCGAGTCGGGAAAACTGTCATAGGTTGGGTTGCAATGGATAACCATCTCTCTTTCATTTCGTTTCACCAAATAACGTTAAAAAACGTGAAAAACATAACTCGTGTAGCAGAGGGAATACAGACGGAAACGCCTGAGAACCTTGGAGCAATGGATGGTGTAAACTCGAAAAAGAGTTTTTAGTAGGCGAATTACCTGTCATACACGGCTTCTTATTTAGTTCACGTTATTTGCACATGCACCATATGATGATGGACAGATAGTGCAGGGTGTACCTCGAAACTTCACCGCTTACCCTCTCTTTGGTTTATTGATTGAATCTTATTTGACACCTTCAGATTCTAAGACATAGAGAGGTACGACTGTGAGCGCAAGATTTTACGATAATGACAAAGATCTTTCGTTATTTTGGCGGGAAAATGCACTAGCGTCAACTTCCAGGGGCATATAACGCTCGTAATTTAATATCCTAAAAATTGACAAACCATCAAAATGCGGCTTAGCTATTGAGTCATCATAAAACCGGCAACTAGAAATCAAACTGAGCAGAAAAAATGTTGAAACGACAAGCTTCACCAACTTCGTCTGAACTCAACAGGGTAAAAACAACTTTAAAACAAACTCCAGCATTGCTGGCGGAACAAAAAGTAAAAAACATGACAGACTCATTACTAACAAGTGGTGAATTAATACTTCTGTTTATTATGCTGCCTCACTTAGGCTTTATTCTTCTTTCTTTGACAAGGTTTTTTTCTTGTAATGTCGAACAAGCTGATTTAAAATCAAAATATTAACAACAAAGAACACGACACTACCAGCCCACACGTAAAAAAAATTATTCATTCCTTTGTATTCCAAGTAGTATGCAGGAATAAGCCACATGGCCTGAGGAAAAAAAAACGAGAGCAGGATAAATTATCAAAATGATGAAAGAAGAGCTTGAGTAAAGCAGTGATCCTTGTAGGTGAGTGAGCTGCAATTTTTAGGAAATGTAGAAAAGAAGTCAGAAAAATTCAGGCTTGACAGAGTTTGAACCCATGCCTCTCTGATTGAAAGAGACTCTCACAAAGCCTGGATACCTTTTCCCAGTGAAACAAACTTGTTGAATCATAGTTAAAGATCTTGTAAATAAATACATTTTTGGGAATTTTTTGTTGTTGTTAATGTTTTTATTTCTCAAAGATATAAGCTCATTTTTTATAGATACTCTATGATTGAAGAGGAAATAAAGGCTATGTATGTATGTATTTATGTATGTCTGTCTGTCCTTCCCTCCCTCTGTCTGTCCCTCCCACTGTCCATCTGTCTGTCTGTGTGTCTGTCCTGTCACAACAATGCAAATCATATTGGAGGTTAAAAATTGTGTTATAGAATGGGTGCCAAGTAAAAAGAAGAAAGAGGGTGGAGTGAGTGGGTGTACTGATTCTGATGTTCCAGAGGGTACTCTTTGGTTCATTTACAACTTTCTTTTATAAGAAGGACCTAAGTAAGAAATTGGTGGGATTCCAGTGTGAATTTGACCTTGTGCTGACAAGGAATGACAATTAACTGAAAAGAAATGCCAGTAGGAAACTAGTGTAGGAATAACTGGCACTACAAGAGAGGAATTCAGAATTCAAGATGAGCAAATCAACATTATATTTTTATGTATCTTCATAACTAATCTCACCTGTCCAGCAAACCAAGCTAGAGTTAGACTAACTGTTTTCTGTAGTGAGATGTTAACAGAATCCAGGATCAGGGGAAGAAGACATAAATACCACAGAAAATACTACATAAAAGAGAAAAAACATTTCAGTCAGTAAAAGAGGAAAAGTAAAGCTTTTTTGTCCATTTTTAGGCACCTTGATTAAGGTTTTAGGACTATTGTGCAGTGTGATCCTGTGATAAGAAGTTAGAAGTTTGGAACAATGGCATTTAAATACAATCAATTTTTTTTTGCTTTTTCATTACACAGTTTACCTGTAAGCTGAAAAATAAGGAAAATACTGCCATAATACATAATACAAACTTACAATTTCAATCTGAATGTTTTGGTTACTCTTTAGAATTGCAAAATGCAATAAGTGGTAAACTTTATATTCAATTTCTAGTGGTAAAGATAAAAAAAGAATATTTTTGGAGCATACTCAACATTAGCCATACCAAAAGGGGATTCACAGCATCAATTTGACTTACCTGTGATGTGCACACTTTATTAAAGGTAACAAATGCAAATGTCTGCACAAAGCAACAAAATGGAATGTCCCTGTAGTATAGGATGCCAAATGCAACTACGAGAACAAGCTGTGGTATGAAAGATACCAAGCCAAGTACTGGGGACCAGTAGGTGCCTTCTACTAGGTACATCATGTAAAAATACACAGAAAAGTTGTGCTTCACATCTCGTCTTGTTACATGGTAAAGGTAAGTGTGCTCAAGGAATTCAAAACCATATCTGTTGAAAAGGGAAAATTATTGCACATACCTGTCAGCATTTTACTAAGAATGGCATTTTCACTGATTCATTTTTTTTTTTTTTAAAGAAAATCATTGATGTGGAATTCTGTGTTATGAAATATATACTAGTGACATACTTAAATTTTCTTTCGTAATCCATGATATCTGCACTACATGCAGTGAACACTCTTTTCATATCATTCATGTATAAAGATACCAATGTCCTTATAGATACCAGGCATGTGAATTTGGCTTATTGCATTTAGCAAAGGACTTTTTTTTTTCCAATTTACTAACATTGCTTAAGGTATGTACTTTTTTAGGCTAGCTGAGTTAACAAGCAGGTGATCATCTTGAATGGGGTTCTGAGGTCTTTGAATGTGACATTAATATCTATTTAATAAACAGAACATTACACAATGCCTTCTGGATGCAAGTTTATTTCCTCATTCCCTTGGCTTATTGTTAAGAAATATTATCAACATTAGAATAAAAAGAAATTAGTCCATCCCTGATCATGAAATACCCTATTTTACTCAGTTTATAGGCTTGTTTTTCTAAGTCTTGGACCAATACATCTCTGAATGTTTTTATGCATACAATCACCTCCAAGGGAGACTGTTAGTAGTAATTCATGACTTGGGCTGTGCTATGGAAATATGTTCTCTTCCTTAAGTTCAATTTTTTGCTTTTAGGAAGTGAAGCTCCAATTGACTTCTGCCATACCAAAAAAATTTTGTCTTTTTCATTTATGGGGTTTTCTATAACTAAGGTTTCTGGTCAAGAGAGAAGTTGTGGCAGTTCAATGATACAATTAGAATAAGATAGCACTGCACTTTTTAGGCGATACATACCTTTGATACAACACTCCAGTTAATCCTAAAAAGATTACTGCAGCAATCATAGCAAACTTAAACCTTTGAGGATGGAACACAAACGCCACGGCCTGAGAAACAAAACCTAAAGATTTTTTCACATTGTCACTCGTTCCTTCACTTGATTTCTTGCAGTCATAAATATCATCTCCCACAAGTAGAACAAATGGGAAGCCATATATAATGGGATAGATTTTAAAGTGTACAGAAAGGGCAAAGAAAAAGGCGGCCATCGAAGTGTTTTTATTGAGGACGAAATAGATACTTGCAAGGACCAGGAATGCCAAGATTGATTCTGCATTTCCGCGGGTTGAAACTGTGAAGGATAGTGGATTAAATAGCCACAGCAACGAGGCGAAAACAGCTCTTTTCTCGCAACACCCGCGTAAATGAAGGATCTTATACAACATATATCCAACTAAAACATCGAACAGTGCAAAAAGAACTTTCCCAAAGCACATGTGCAGAGTGATGTTTGGAGTTAAGAGGGTGGCTAAGAGAGGAGTATAACGATATGTGAGTCGTAAGTAAGGAGAGTTCCCTTCGACGACATGGCGAGCAGCGTCAGTGAAAACGTGGTAATCGATATCTGTGTACTTAACAACCATGTTCTTATCTTGCCATTCTCCATAAACAATCAGACAAAGTCTTAGTAGGAAAGCGATCGTGCAGGTCGACCAAATAGACACGTAATCCTTCATTGCGTTCGCCATGTTTGTGCTTGGGGACCAAGCCTGCATCCCGTGAAGCAGCTCGCGTTCAAACCAAGATGGCGGGCTTTGGGAATCATTTTGTTACTACCTTTCAGGCTGATTTAGAAGCTATATTTTCCAAGGTATGTGTCGTATTTAAGTACTTCTATAATCTTAAAGCCTATTCTTTTCTTTGCAACTGCGTTACAGCTTACCTTTGCATTGTTAAAGATCGCAGTTTACAGCCTAAGACATGTAAGACCAATTTTTTGAATTTCGTAGGGTTACTCAGGTCTAGATAATTAACACGACAGCTTTCATTTTTGGCAAAAACTCGTTTGAGAGTTATTGTTTATTTTAGGAAAGGAAGAATTTGCTCGATTTTATCAATGTGTTTTGAAAAAATATAGTCCATGTTGCTGTGCGTCAAAACTGTAGTTACTAAAACAAGGAATGACCTAAAATGACCTAAAATGACCTTGAGTGTTGTGCACAATGACCAAAAATAATAAAAAAAACCCTTAAATAACTTGGACTGATGTCTAAGATGGCTAGAAATGAATATAATGTTGACTGATGTCTAAAATAACCAAAAAGTCTAGCTAAAAAGATCCACAATAATAACTGGTAGTAGCACAATGATCTAAGGTGTTCTGAGTGATCTAAAGTGGCACACTAAGCACTCAGTTTGCACATTCAGTTCTGTTTTTCTTTTGTATATCACTGGCAATTACTATTTTAAATTGTTGCAGTAAAGTTTAAACATTATTTTACATCATTTTAGTCAGTGTGGGTTATTTTTGATCATTTTAGGTCAAGACATCAGTCAGGGCGTATTTTATGTCATTTTAGGTTATTCCTTGTTTTAGTAACTAATGCATCAAAATGTGGTAAGGGTAAGAAAGAGGCATGCAAGTCTCAACTGAGTGTCCCTTGTTTGTCCTCTATTACTGAACAGACCAACGGCAACATGGAATCTACTTGTTGCACACCATAAAGAAGCAAAATATTGTTAATGGTGATGATACATCTGTCCTCCAGTAAATTATTAGTAAGAGGCAACTGAATTTCATGCATTCAATTCAGCTTATTATATCAATAGAAAATATGTTTTTCAGTATGCACTGGTACCTGATGAGTACGTGGAGGAGTTTTACTTGAGTGAATTTTATGAAGGTAACTTATTAGTTTTTGCCATTTTCTTTGTTCAACTTGGGAGATCTGAGAGTGAATTCTCCCATCTGATAATCATGAGTTTCTTTGTTGGCCGATTAAGTTCTTATTTACCTGTCTCTGCAACAGTATCGTAAAATTTTACTTAGCACTATCCACTGGCTAAGAAACTGCCTTCACAGATTTCTGAGTTGTCTACTTTTTCAAAAAAATATTGTGTGGGTTATTAAAAGTCAACTGTCTGAAATTAAAAAAAATGTTTTTTCCAGAAAGGCTTTTGAACAGACAACTTTCTTGAGAGTCATTTTCACATTCCAGAATATAATTTGCTACTAATCTTTCCTAGTATTCAGTTCTCAATTCTCTTGCTGGTACTTTTTTTTCATGTGTCAACCATTTGCTACTTTCATCTTCCATAGAATAACACACAGACTCTGTAGGGCTGTGTACCTTTCTTCCTTGGACTGTAAGCCCTTTGCTTAATGTACTCAGCCATCTTCTCTGTATATTACGGAGAACCCTGAAATTCCAAGAATTGGATTTTTTGATGCTTCTTGTTTGATCTTCCAAGCTTGAAGCAGGCATTTCCTTAACCTTTCTGCTCTGTTGCAAATGCTTATTTTTACCCTGTGGAAAATGTGTTGATGTGACTCACTTTTTTGTTCTCAGTATTTGAATGTTTGTGTTTGTGTCTATGCTCCAGCAGGGGTAATTGTGTTCATGGGTAAGCTGTGCGTGTGTGTGTGTGTGTGTTGGGGGGGGGGGGGGTAAGCCCCCTGATTTGATATCAGTAAGTGTCTATTGTTAGTTCAAGTGTTGTTTTAGATCTTAGAAAGAAACTATTTTTCAGTAATCTGCTTCTTGATCAGGGCATTTTCCTACACTGCAGGTCTCAGATAGCGTGTCAGGGCTGGCAATGTGTGCTCAAAATGTATAATACCAACGTTTCTTTTTTAATCTAATTACACGAATATTTTCTGAATACATTTGAAGTGGCTGTATTAATTTGCTATGCTACGATTGATTGAAATTTGATTTTGAATGGGTAGCAAAAAATGGAAGGACTTTTCCCTTAACGGGATAGAGTTGGAAGGTGTTGATGGCATGCCCCACCCAAACTTCCTTTAAAGCCACCCAGCTCTAATATCAATTATCTTTCCAAAGATGAGAGTGAAACAGAGGATGATGGTGACCAGTACAGTGACCCTGAAGATGACGATGGCCAGGATTCCGATGCAAGTGGGCCTACCTCATGTTACCCAGAAGATGGACCTGGTGAGGGTATAGTGTTTGGCAAGGAAGATGAACTTTGCACGGACTCAGCCCCTACAATAAATGACCCTTTTACAACACATGATTACAAGGGATGCATCGAAGATTTTGAAGGAATAGATCCTGGGAAAGATGCCTCCAAATTGGGTAATCAGGAGAGATCAAAGTATGTACAAGAAAAGAGCTCTGAGGAATTGCAGTACGAGGAATTTAATTCTAACAAACGCGTCTGTGATGTAACCTTTACTATAAATTGTTCTAAAGCGAGTCCCTTTTCAGCATATCCAAGGTTGTCTAGTATTTACAAGAAACCAGTGTCTGTTGTACAGCCGCTTACCTCATCAGATGCAAAACTTCCAAGTGACACCTCGTTTTCAGGGGAAGACGAACTGGACGGTGATAACTCAAATGGCGACTGCAGTCTTGCACAGGTTGTTTTGCATTCTCGCGACAGGATTGCTCTTGCTTTGTCCATGGTCTCTGACGAAGAACAAGAAAATTTTCCACAGGGGACTACTTCGAAGAATGCATTATCACAAGGAACACGGGGTACCTTAACGGAACGTACTTCCTCACCAGGCCCCTTCTCACGAACTTTCTCACTGAAAGGGACCTCATCGCAGAGTGTGTCTTTGAAAAGTACCTTTTCGAAAAATTCTCCTGAAACACCTATATTCCCAGCTGGTAGAAAGTCCAAGGTATTAATCCAAAATGGAAAACACTCGAAACCCACTTTTCAAAATGGTGTCGAATCCTGTTCAACAATGACAGGTAGTGAGGAATCCTATCTTCAGACATCTGACTCAAGCTTTGAAAAGAGGACCAACGATGCTGCAGCTACGAGCTGCAAACTCAATGAGGTGCTAGACCACGAGAGAAGTAAGATTCTTGCTTCAAGTGAACGTCACCAATTACGCTCCAGCGAAGAAAAGTCGCATTCTACTCCCAGACGTCGATCTCTAAAAATCCTGCCGCCCTCCTCGGGCGAAAAATTAAAGTGCTCGGTAAAACTTGAAGGCGTTTACCTTAAGGACTCGTTTCTCAGTGCTTCCCTAGCTCAGCAGCCGAATTCTCGTTCCACATCACACCACACATTACGAGTTCCTGATAAAGACACAGTCGCAGTCAGTCCGTGTTCATCAGTCAAAGAGAGCAGAGCAAGTCAAGAACCTCTAAGACGCTCACATCGAAAAATTGTGACTAATTCCGAAAAGGGTGGTTGTACGTCGGAAGATAATGCTAACAAAAAACGTCCGTTTAGTGATCGAATTGTGTCTCCACATTGTAACGTCAAGTCTGGATACAGGACAAAAAAGAGGTTAAAAGATTTGGTTTCTAGCCCAAAAGAAACATTAACAAGTACGTCTGTGGTAGCTAGTGGTCTACGTTCTAAAAATTCCCGTTTTGGGTCACACGTGGGTAAACGGTTAGCGAGGAAAAGCAGTCAAATGAATAAACAAGACTGTCTGCCTTCAAAAAAAGCCAAAAAGGGTTCACCTACGCCTATGAAGGGACGAAACAGGGATAATTTACATGGGGAAAGATCTTCAGGGCCTTTAAGATCGCAGGACACAGGGAAGGCTACCATGAAGGAGAGGGATACGTATTGTTTACACAGGAAAGAATTCCATGCGTATAGAGCAGAACTGTTGTCGTCGATCAAACGAAATGTCCCCGCCTCTCATGAATCTTCACCAGAGCCCTTCTTGTTTCCTTGCAAAGGGAGAGGAACTTGCAATAAAGAATTTTGCTTTGAATGCTGTTAACCATGTTCCATTTAGCACTTTTTATAAATGTCCTTGACGCGAAGGAAGCTGTGTTGGCATACTTTGTTCACAATAGTCCAAATGATGCTTTGATCATTTTGAAGTAAGTTAAGCCAAGCTCATGTGCTGGCCTCTCAAGAAACTCTAATGAAATTTGTAGAAGAAGACGACTTTGAAGGCCATTGAAAACAAATACGACTCTTTTGACCTTTGAATTTAGATTTTATACCCAGTGACTTTTTAAATTATACTTCAAAAGATGTTGGGGCGTTTTGTAAATCTTAACAGCAGGCTCTGTTTTAAAAGATTCGTCTAGTTATAGAATTTTAATAAAGTATTCTTAAAGAAAAGTCTTTCAACAATCTAAATCTAAATTTCAACATTTTAGCTCATGTTTACATAGCTGAGACTTTAAATAGCCATGCGATATTACCATATGTTCGCGTATAGAATGGTACGTTGCTCGCTCCAATTAGATCGCCGCATTTGGGTATGTATCCCGCACCAGTCAAATTGCTGCATTAGGGTATGTGTCTCGCACCAATCATATCATAGCATTTGAATATCTTGCACCAATCATATCATAGCATTTGAATATCTTGCACCAATTACGGGGCTGTGCATAAAGAATGACATTCACCAGAAATTTTGGGCTCATTTGATAAGTGTGATGGTGGGTGGCCTTCGCGAGAGCCTTGTCGATTTCGGTCGAGATTTATCGGGATACGAAAGGTTCGCATTTAACTTTTTATGTCAAAACGTGTTTTTCCGCTCCTTTATTCAACGCACACGCTAAAACTTGCATTTCATCACATACCATGAAAACAACGTCCAAAGTCCAAACAGAACATACCTAATTATTGCGCTACATGAACATCAGGAAATTTTTCACGTACTTGAATTGTATCCCACCATTCAAATTCCATTTTGCCACATCGGACTTCGCTCTTTCACGTGTCATTTTCTTGTAAACAACCTGCATTTTATCACGTATTCTAACTCCTTTGTCCAACCCCTACATTTTTAACCCTTCGCTACCAGCAGCGATTACCCTGAAATTTCTCCTTTCAATAACGTCACATATCACAAACATATTAAAACATCTCGTAAGCCTAAGGTAAATGTAAGACCCCCTGTGCAAAATGGTTGAAAGGGACCGAGACAGAAGTCACGTAACCATTTGACGTCAGCGTTTAAGTAAAGCATGCCATACCGCTGTCCTTTTAAACCAACCTGACAGGCTTTTCTGAAACAAGATAAACGAATATATTCCTCTTGGGAGGTTGTTTTAATGATTGAAGATGCTGGAGTGTTTAAAATAACCGTGGCCTTCTCCAGGTAACGCTTGCAAGTGATTCAAATGAAATTTATTCCTACAACATTGATACACTTTTAGGTAAACATGTGATGAGATTTTAAATTTGCAAAGAAATACACATGGAAGAAAAAAAGGAAGGATTACGGATCAGCTCTTGATGGCAAAGGGTTAGCAGGAGTTCGAACTGATTTTCTGTGTCGCCAACTCCACCTACACCTCCCGCTTCAATCAGAGTCATCATCGTTTCGGACGCCACAGGGATTTTCCATGGGGTTTTCATCCAACAGTTCTTCGTGGACACAGCACATGTCTTTCGCCATCGCGTTATTTTCTGTGTATTTTGACATCAGATCGTGACTGAAAGTTTGGATGAGGGAATTGAATTTTCTGGTGATTTCCGGAACCGGATGAGCACAAATTTTTGGTGGGAGCTGCACCAGCTTTGAATAGCAGCTCAGGAAGTTATTGACACCGTCACAAAGGTTCTCCGCCTCATCTGCACAAGCCTTCACGTCTAGTGCTGGATCCTCTTCTTCTGTGTCTTCAACTAAGTTCCGGAGACATTGGCGATGAATTCTTTTAGCGCATTCTGTTTCATTGCCACTTTCAGACACTAAAATGACCAGAAATACATCAATGCTGATTCTATGGAACGGAGAAATTTTCAGTCAAAAGAATCGGCTGACACGACCTCGTTCTTATTGCTCTCCAATTCAGATCCTTGAAATGGTTCCTTTGGGAAGTTGCAGTTTGATAAATCGACTACATTTGTCCGCCAATCACAACCTCATTGATCATAGAAATGTTGTCAATAATTACTATAACTCAAGTGAAACCACTAGGCGCAGAATGTCGGTTTGAGTCATTATCATAAATTTCAACCGAATTAACTTGATAAATGAAAAGAAAATTCTGAAAAGAAGCGAATGTTAAAATTTCACGTTACCTTCCATCCCGCATACGCCTCTACCTTGGTACCGTGCTTTGCTTTCTAAACAAAATAAATTTAAATATAGTCAACAAATGATCTAATGGCCTGCAATCACTGCGCTGTGTTCTCAGGCTTGACACTTTCCTGTGCCACCCCAACATCTGTATACAATATATATCTCTATACTGTTCTTTATACATTTTCTATGGCGTTTGCAGGGAGATCTTGTCTAACAATCAAGAGCTTCTTGAGTTTCCGATCATTTCCCTTATTCTCCTGAACTCAATGTTTGATTTAGGGGTGATATTGTTGGGAGAAATTAGATGCTTATCACTCTTAGGAGTTAAAGGTTTAACTACTCAACCCTTTAACCGCTAAGAATGACTGGCGTCTAAATTCTCCATACAAGATCACCCCTGAATAAACTTTGAGGTCATAGGAATAAAGGAAATGATCAACTAGTAAAGAAGCTCTAGATTGATAAACAAATTCTCCTTTTCAGAACCTTAAAAATGTATAAAGAAAGTATGGGGAATATGCATACTGATGTCAAGGTGTAAAGGGTTAAAATATTTAACGAAACGCTACGATGCGCTGACATCTCTTACAGGAGAAGAAGTACTTCTAACTGGGACCTAACTAGGGTATTGTCAGGGAATAGCTACCCAGGAATCGGCGTTGGTGGACTGGGCGCGACTCTATCTAAAACAAGATTAAGTAGAGGATATTACATGGCCGCTTGGGGATATGAATTTTATCTTCGAGTGCTGGAAGTATCTCTCACGAGTAAGCGAAGCGAACCCGTGAGAGATACTTTCAGCACATGAAGATAAAATTCGTATCCCCAAGCGGCTATGTCATGTTCTGTTTATTTTATTTATACTGCTGAAATTTCAAAAGAACCGGCCGCGCGCCTGAGCGGGAAGCTCTCTTGTAATTGGCTAATCATGTTAGTAACCATGGCGGCACCAATATCACCACACGTGAAAGATAAAAATAGTATCTTCACTGCGCATGATGAAGATATGATTTTTTAGTAAAGGGAAAAATCCTGGTATTTCATCAGTATCTGTATAATAATTGGATTATATCAACTGAGTTGATGATGTTAATTGGCCACCATAAAGTTCTCTCTAGAAACCCTTAACGGTGGCCAATTTACATAAACAACTCAGTTGATAAAACCCAATTATCTTGGTATACATAATCAAGATAGTCATGCAGGACCTTTGCAAGTTTCCACTTCAGAAGAATCGATTGCATCGTTAGTTTCCCATGGTATGATGCAGTTGAATTCTAAGCGGTCACCCTGTATTAAGCGATCGGTTTTCGAAGTCCTAAAATTGTTTCCACTTAATTACTGTAGTTTTAACCACTATCAAGCGGTCACCTCTAATAAGCGGTCGTGTTTACCCTTTACTGAGACTCAACGGCCTGTTTGCATTGTTCTCCACCTGTTTTGAACGGTCAGTTGAAGTACAATCACTCAAGTAAAAATAAAAATTATCTTTCAAGTAAGTTAATCCATGTGTATCTCCCAAAATCAATGTTAGTAATATTTTTTGAGCGAGTTTTTGTAAATTACAAGGTTAATTACGGCAAAACATGGCATTTTTATAATTTTTTATAATACTCTCATTGTTTAGAACAATGTCATTCCCGGGTGACCGCTTAATAGAGGTTCGACTGTAATTTAGTTACCATAAAGATCTGTCATTTTCTCCATCTTAGCTATTTGTTTATCAGTATAGTCGTTACATATGCCCAGATGTTCGCCAATACACACGTACTGAAGAACAACAAACATCCACTCATCCAAAACTTCACTACGACAGTCGGTGTACTTCTCGTTGAATTTTTTGTTCTCGGAGAATGCACACTTCAGCAATTTCTGCGGGAGGTAAAAAAAAAAACAGAAACAAAAAAAAAACAATCAGATGGCTAACTTGGAGCGGAAAGGGTTGCTATGGAAAAGCCCTTAAAGAGGAAGTTTCCTTTCGAAATAATTATCTGTCAGATCATAGCACAATGACGAGGGAAGGGTTTCAAGCCTATGGTAGAGCCTCTATCGGGTACATCTGATCCGATTCGTAAGCCTGATAGTTTACAGGTAATTTAATGTTAACAACTGAGTTGAAAACGTAAATTGGCCACCGTAAAGAGTAAAAAGGCTGACGTTTCGAGCGTTAGCCCCTTGCCAATCGCTCTGACTAAGGGCTAACGCTCGAAACATCAGCCTTTTTACTCTTTACGGTGGCCAATTTACGTTTTTAACTCAGTTGTTAACATTAAATTACCTGCTATACTCTCCCACCGACGCAGCACCACAGCTTCTTTAGAAATTTACTCCCTTGATAGTTTACAGCATACGCAGCAGGGGAGATAATGAGTCAGTTGTGTGTTGTGTTGAATCAAAATATCCTCACCCTCTCTTCATATTGCTTAACTGTTCACACTACTGGACTTTAATTTGTATTCTTGTACTCTCGTTTGGTACATTTAATCCATCGACCACACCAAAGCATCTGAAAACGCAGATGGAGGTGACTTTACGTGAGGCATCTTCAAACGCCTTTGTTTTCATTTGTCCACAGAAGAAAAAAAACCAATTTTCAAGACACTCTTCTTCTGGGGCTGTTTTCCAAGGGCTTCATGCTCATGAACGTTTACAGGCGTTTTAGTGTGGATGATGGACAAAGACGACAAAGACGCTTCAAAAAGTGTGCCGTTTCGAACGAGAATGCTTTGGTGTGGATGGGAACTTTGAAAACCATGAACAACTAAAGTATGCCCCAAATTTTTATCGTATTATGACCAATCAACAGGGAGAATCTCCAGTCATGAAAGGGAACTGGGAACAGATAAGGTTTCTCTAAATCGTATCCCAGAAACATTTCCGAGTTCACGTTGGCACAATTCAAGGAAAATAAAAAACGTAAACTGTTAGATGGCCAAAGATTGGTGAACAGTTTTTGTGACGTAAGACTCGTCCAGAAACTAGCAAATGAAAATAACTAAGATTAAGAAAAATTTGTCCAATAGACAACGGCCTGGTAAATTGATTAATCAAAGTGAGCGTGATAACTCAGAGATATGATCATATTTTAAAGGATGAATCTTACCAACATTCCTTTACAATACAGAAGTTGTGGATTACGATCTTGGTAGCGAAGGAAACAGAATTTGATCTGGCTGTTGCATTTTTTCATTGCTATCTGCGCATCCTGTTGAGCCTCAGATGAAGAACAGTACTGAACCGCAGCGCTAGCAGTTTGGACGAAGTACACAATGGTTAAAGCGACAGTGAGAAGGATAATGAGTGGCAAATAGGCCATCTTTTCCTAGAAAGCAAAAATATTGTGAAGGAATCTGTAGAGGAACACAAACTAGTGCAAAAAGTGTGCTGCATGTTTAAACACTTGACGAACCTTGTCGCACATAGGCTAATGAGTGTCGCACGGTTGCGCTCTATGGGGGAGGAGGTCTCGACCTTATGGCATCCGAACGTTACGCAAGAATTAACATTTCTGGGCATGCAGTAGTAGTTACATGCCTAAGGACCCTAAAAAAGCTTAAATTTTGGTACGTTTTTCAGTCCTTCCAGTTATTTTCCGTCTCGCCGAGTTACTGATGATCATCTTTTTTTAAAGCTATGTTTGACATTGCGCGTGACTCTTTGAGAAAGGCCAGTATCATAGATCCTTTTTATTAATTTCTTCTCCACAATTTTTTGTTGGTGAGCAGTTTTAGTGTCACTGTCACCAAAATGATAGTTGCTCGTCCTTTGCTCTGACGAAGGGTTAACGCTTGGAACGTCAGCTTTAAAAACTCTCTTCGGTAACCAGTTTACTTAAACAACTCTATTGAAGGACCAAATTATCTTGAGAACAAACTGAGCGAGCACAAACACGAGTGATCATAGGAAACTTTTTTCATTTTCCTTTAAAAAGTTCAAATTGAAACGCTATCCACAGAGTGTGGGCGGCCTGTGGTCCAATCAGTAATGAGCACTCCGGAAACGTACTCGCCGGCCGCTAGTTGTTGGACGATACTTCTCATTACATAGGAACAATCCATTCAGTAAATCCGGAGCTATATTCATTCGAAATTAATTTTTTCGCCAGAGCTCACATTTCCTGGTGTTCTCGGTCACAGTAATTTTCATCAGTTCTTGACCTCGTTACATTTCCCTATTTTTGTGAACAAAGTTTCACTAAAAAAAAAATAAGCAAAAGAAGGAATAACGTCGTGTTATTCAAATTTCAGGAGACAATATATATTTTAGCCGGCAAAGCCATTTGACAGTTACACAGAAATAGTTTGTTTCAAGAAAATCCGATTCAATTCAAACGTAAAGCAGGCCCTACACTATCAAAAATTCTAGAAAAAATGAAATAACAAAACAAATAAAAAGGAAAAAGGATCGAAAAGGCACAACTTTCTTGCCAATTCTATTTAAATTGATTTTAATTGTTAAAATCGCCATTTGATGTGTGCCCACAGAACGTAAAACACTTAAGCAATTCATCTCTAGGAAACTGCAGGTCGACCAGAACTAAATCAAATTAAAATGCAAATGCTCAGTTAATTTGAAAAAGATCAATCATTTTGACAGAAAGATTTGTCAAGAAAGACCTTAAACTCGACATTTGCTTTCGTGTAATGTAAGGTTAATGAAAGGGCATTTCACAATTATGGTATGTTTAAGCTGTACCTGTCATCTTTTCCTAGCAATTATGTGTTTTTTCTATGTTGGAATTTTCCCAAGAAACTTTTTCAACAACGCGAATGGACTAGTTAAAATCCACTCATAAATAAATATGATAAAGGTCAAGTTGTAGGGCACGCTGTCCCCGATCATGATATGTACTTTCGTAATATCTAGATCTGTATTTTGTGGGTTATACAGATATCTCGTCGCCGACATGACTCAACGGTTTGTGGAAAATTCGAAAGCGAGTTTAGAAGAAAAATATCCTTGTTTTATCAAGTATGTATAGGTCTCTCTCTTCAGGCTATCTACCTCTAAGTTGTAAATTTCCAGTTGTGAGGTTAGCACGGTCATCTTTCAAAAAGAGGTATGGTTCGCTTTTAAATTAAGACCCGGAGTAAGATTAAGCTGAGCTGGTATTTTGGTATTCGATTATTACATGCTACATCTTACCTTTCATGAGATATCTGCTCGTATTTACTCAGTGTTTAGACCGCGGTATCAAATCTTGGAAGTTATCACGACTAATCTAAATTAAAGGCCTTCAGAAAAAGCAATTATCGTCGCTATGTCCGGAAATATTTTAAGTGAAATAGAAATCTTTACAAATAATTGTTTGGAGTCTCAGTCAAGCCAAGTTATTGTTTCATTTTTGGTTGCAGGGATTTTGTGTCTTAGAAAGTGATTATTTCAATTAAAGTCAACACGATTTGTGACAAGTTTTTTCAGCTGGCTTGAAAGAAGATATTCAAGTATTTTATGTAAAAAGAAAACCTTAAAGTTACTTGATATTTTTCGATCCCAATTACAAGACATATTTCCTGCTGTTATTTCAATTCAGTTTGTGAAATGATTCTAAAAAACTGATAAAGAATATTGTGGGAGTAACTAGAGGACATAATTCTCGTTGCCAAGGAAAACCACTGTTATCATGCATCGCAAATTAGTTTACAGTTTTAATTGTTACATCTCAAAAAGAGAGTAAAAAAAAGAGGAAAAAAATCACATTGTATGAGTATAACTTTGTTATTCTCTATGCAAATCTTTTTAAGTGAGCTGCCGGCGTGGAAAGCAGAGTATCTCAAATAAATACAAATGACAGAATGCTAGTGTTTTTTTTTTACAAGTCCCTCTGCATGTAAATATAATTTCTCACTAAAGAAAAAAGTTTAAATAAAGATTGCAAAGTTAGTTAATATATTTGGCAACTCGAGTTAGCCGCTTAGTAGTTGTAGAAACAGCATAGGCACCCACGGAAGGGGGCTATCTGGCAGCATTCGAGCTAATTCAATTGCCCCTGAAAGGATCTTAGGCAACCACGCCTAGACGGGAAATCATTTAAACAATCTTTCGATAATCGTCACGAATCAGTGAAATAGTAAATTAAAATAAAGAACTGACAATATTTATAACGAAACGCAACAATTTGGGTCGTTGTCAGGATACACCTGCAAGGGTACACCCAACAAACCGCAAAAAAGAAGAAAACTACAAAAGATAATGGTAATAAAAATGGCAGCATTCCTGGTACAATATCGAATTGTTGACTAGGCTCCTTCAACTGGCCGTAGAGCGAGGCTAAGAATATATCAACCACTTTGTCGCGAGTGTGAGACAACGAATTTATCTAAATCCACCTCGAAGGATCGAGCCTTCGACTTTTCAGATTTCGTGACTCCGATGATCTAACACAGAGCCACAGACTTTGAGATGAGTTCGGCCATTCCTTGGCTCATATATAACATGTATCATATATAATCCTAGTATCAAAAGCGTCGATATCGTCGTGTGGGTTAACATATTAGCAAAGATGACAAATTTGAGTATTTGCCAAGAATTTGAAAAGACTGTCTGGTTTTCAGCGAAGTACATCTCATATTGCGTGGAAAGGTTTTGATTGATATATCAAAAACATAGCCACTCTTTAAAATGAAAAACATATCACTCTTTGAGGTAAACCTAAAAATATGAGTATAAGTGATATCAGCCCTGCAGGACATGGATTATTTGCACGGAACTCATCTCCCGGAGACTGCTGGTCGATTCGAACTAAAGTAAAATTAAAACGGAAATGCAATTTTTTTTTAACTTGAGAAAATCAATCATTTTGACTAACATAGATCTGTCAAGAATGATTTTTAACATTTTATCTTTAACGCTGTTTGTGTAATCTTGATAAAAGTGCCACGATGATAAACATTTCTCGCTGTTTCTTCATAAATTTTCATATCGACATTGATTATTTGTTTAACTCGGCCGAAGCTTCACCCTTGGCACGAAATTTGGTGTTTTATGTCCCAAGTTGGCATTAATGTATTCCAGTGTGACTTCTTCGATAATGCTAAGGCATAAATTAAAACTGATTTACTTAGAAGTGAATGAACAGTTTGAAACGAGCACTTCCATGTAATTTGAAGCGTCTACATCCTAGATAGGTTGTGGATTATAGCGATATTTAACCACTCAAACAACTCAACTGTTGTTATAAAATTCAAAATGTGATTTTGGCAGAAAACATATCGTTATTTAGTCAATCACATTAAGGTCTTTTTTTGTAAAAGCAGAAAGATATCCACTCTTTTGGATTCAGTTTCAAAAAGTTCAACCTGAAGGTTTCTTCGGAGGTCTCTCCAAAGGAGAGTTCGTTTAATTTGTTGTTGAAGCAAGGTTGGCCGAAAATTTGAAATGAGCCTATTTTTTACATATACGTCTTGGATGATAGTAGCTAAGAGCTAGCTTAGCTGAAATCTGAACTTAAGAAATCCCAACTCAGCATATTCTTAAAGCTAAACACCTTATTTATTATCACAGAGTATGATTTGTACAACGTTTTACCTTTCGTGAGATATTCGCCCCTGCCCGCTCACCGTGATAGCCGCTTCACAGATAGTCGTAGTTGTTATGACCAATCTTACAAATTGAATGAAAGTTTCGTACACCTTGATCCTATGTTAAAACTCGGAAATATATTCAGCGAGAAATAGACTTTTTAACGAGTAATTGTCCAGGGTCCCAGTGAAGCCAGGCTATTGTTTTATGCTCCAGGAATGCGGGGATTTTGTGTCATGCAAAGGTTTTGTTGGAAGGTCAACACTATTTCTGACAAGTTTTATCAGCTGGCTCAAAGGCAGAGATACATTTGTCCTTTTCATGCGGTGATTTGATCTCTTGCGGGTCAAGTCACAAGATTTCTTCCCTGCTGTTAGCTCAAATCAGATTGTGTTATAATTCTGAAGAACTGATTAAGAATATCGTGGTAGACCATTGAAAGACACGATCTCGATGTCAAGGAAAAATCACTGGTATCACTTGTCAAAAATTAGCTTACATTATCAATTGTTAACTTTAAAAAAATATCTTGAATAAAGGGCAAATCATGTACCTTCTACCCAAACGAATCCTGAATACAACTTCGTGATACCTCAATCAAGCCTTGCTAAGTAAGCTACAGGCTAGGAAAGAGGGGTTTCTCGAGTGAAGACAGATGACAGAATGCTAATGTTGTTTTTACAAATCCCTCCTCAAGTAAATATGATTTCTAACTAATAAAGAGTTTAAATGAAAACGGCGCTGTTAGTTCAGTACGTTTGACAACGTAAGTCCCGCCTTCCCGCAAAATGGAAATGTCTATTTGAAATTTTCGCTTGTGACCAACGAATACTTTCTCGATTCCTTATGATTACATTGAGAAGCGATCAGTAGGGAGGAAAAATGACAGGATCAATTAAGGGGTTATTTTCTGATGAAAACAAATCGCTCAACATGAAAAATATCACAAGTCATAACTCGGAAATTTCATAATTTGACAAGCAAATTTGAAAATTTGATATATTTGATAAACGTGTGTGCCACGTCATGAGCTGCACAGCAAGCCATTATGTGGCAAACACAGTGAGCAATAACGGCAGTATTTTTAAATTTATCGACAAATAAAATCAACATTTGGGAAGGTTCAAAGAAACGAAACGCTTGCGTGGGAAGCAGTTGGTGTACCAGCTGCGAAACTTCAATAACTTCATCAAATCACAAAATAATTGTTCTTTTCCTTTTACAATCACAAAAAAGAAAGTGAAATCTTGAAAAGATGACTGTAAAAAGATCTAGTAGGACATGACATCAAAGTGCATTTTCTGTACTAAGAAGTGAAATATTCAATAATGTTGAGGAAATACTTTCTTTTGCATTTCGTGAATTGCGCCTTTCGTGAGATATCTATTCATAATGACTCGGCGTGTATGCTATGATGAAAAAACTGTTTCGACCAATCTTTTTAAATTAACATAACGACAGGAATGTTTTCAAAATATACAAAAAATAATTCTCTTTCGTTATCCCTTGAAGTACTTCTGGTACAAAGTTTGTTTGTCTTTTGTGCCAGACGGTAGAATTTTTTGTTCTCAATTCCAGCCTTGGCCATGGGGAATTGTATGTTCAACCCCATGAAAATTTCCTTCTCAGTGTAAGGGTGAAAATACTCATAGAACGCCACGCCGATGTATTATTCGAAGGCAAAGTACAATAACAGTGCTTCGAACTTCGAAAATCTTGTGGTAGAAATAAAAATTATATTTCATGATGCAAAAATAAGATTGCAGCAAGTAATTTGAAACTTGCCAACTATAACTGAAGCTTTCCGAAGACACTTAGAACTGGTCTAAACAATTACTTCACTTTAAATCACATAGCTTTCTAACCCTAAGTGAAGCGAAATAATACTACCGGTACTAGTCAAACTGTATGAATTTCGGAACAGTTGAACATTATATATGTTGTAGGAAGCACCGTCAGATCGCTCTGACACTGAACTCACGCTCAGGTTTTGAATCATTATTGTTTCGTATATTTTTCACTGAGCTTCGAGGTTAGGTTTGTTTGGAGGCAAACGCCAAAGGGATCAAACATAGCGCGGTGGACGCTGTCTTCCTCAAGTGCTTAGAAAAGTGTACTAAATCTTAAATGACTCTCCAAGTTTTTTGTAGAGTGTAAATTTAAGTTATGGGATTAATTGTGCAGCTGTCACGGGTACTGATAAACAATTCTACATCGCAAAGATCTACTATAGCAATATGAAATCGCTTTTATTCATCCGACCACTGTTGAAGATATAATGTGTCACTACAAAATAGAGCCATAAAATAAACTATTAATAAAGAAGGAGGAATCTGTGACCATGAACTGGGACTATTTAACAGATCTTATTATCACAACTACGAAAAAAATTCACAGAGTTTGGTAGTCAATGCAAAGAATTAGCCATTGCTTTTAATTTTAAAAGGTTCATCTGACGCTCAGGGTTCAGTTGTTCAAGAGGAGGATAAGGCTAACCAACTGTTAAATCGTAATCCAGCAAATAAGTGTGAACAAAAAAATACTGTGCTATCCACCGAAAGGAGATTTAATCAGTGGATAGCGTTATCCACCGTTCAAACAACCGGGGCCTGCTGTCTAAAAGACCATTTAACATGATCGGTAAATAACAGAGTATACATTTCCCTAGCTTTTCAGAGAAATGGAAATCTTTCCTTTATTACACCATCAGTTGTCCTTTCATTGGCATCAATGGTGCATGACAGTCGCCTTGATGGTCGAGGTGTTGCTTGTATTTGCTGATAGAGTTAGCAACCTAATCTTCATGATCGTTACTGTCATTCTCACCGTCGCCAATCCTGCAGAGCTCATAATGTGTCTACACTACCACAATCGATCCCCTCACCCTCGCATCAATGGTGCATGACAGTCGCCTTGATGGTCGAGGTGTTGCTTGTATTTGCTGATAGAGTTAGCAACCTAATCTTCATGATCGTTACTGTCATTCTCACCGTCGCCAATCCTGCAGAGCTCATAATGTGTCTACACTACCACAATCGATCCCCTCACTAACAAGTCCCACTCAGTTCTGGATGATATCAAATTAACAGTGCCTTGCCGAAATTTGAAGTTATTAGAAGCGATTTTCGTTTTACAACTGAAGCCACAAGCGGTTGTGCTCTTAACCCTTGTGATCCTTTCAGTTTCGAGAATCTCTTCAATGGTGGCTGTTAAGTTTGCAACATATTCGTCTACAATACCTTAACCCTGTACGTTGCAGTGTCATAATTGTCAGTAGAGGGTACTTCCTGTGGATCGATCTGTCTATTATCTGAGACTGATTGAAAGCTGAATTGTCAGCTATCATTCCGCCCATCGATTCTAAATTAAACTTTAAAATCTCCTTAAGATCTTTTGTTTTGAGTTTCTAGATGTCATTTAATACCGAAATTTCCATATCGTTGTATTTAAGAACCATTTTGAAGGGAGAACTCGCATTAAAAAGTGCATTCGAACGCGAAATGTCAGCAGCTCAGCCGTTTGAAAGAACCGCCGGGTCAATCCCAGCCTCGTTATTGTGTGCGCGCGGTTACTTAGCCAAGATGGCGCCGGGAACTGTAAAAAGGTCTACTTTACAAAATCTTGCGAACCTTTCGAGACCAATGTTTGTCTTTTATCACCAGACCATGCAATACTAACACCGTTCACACCACAGCGTACTGTTCATACAGAAGCTCCCGGATCTTGTAATAGTCGTCACACACGGCTCCTTCCAAGCCCACGCGGCCAGTCTCGTTCTGAGAAAGACCAAAAAACATAGACATGAGAAGCAAGAAAATTCATAGTGTTAGGGAATAGATACAAGCCGCTAAAGCTGAATGATCAACCAGTTGTGCGGAGAGGTAGAACTTGTAAAATTACACTCAAGAGGACGCCTTCAAAACGTTTCAACGGTGAGTTTGAACTTAAAGAGACATTAAACTGATCTTTTTCTCACCCTTCTTACAGCTACAACATTGTTGCAGATAAGAACGCCTCCAGCAAATTCCGCTTGAATACCGGCTTTGTTCAACACTTGCTTGAAATCTGACAGGCGAGGCTCGTTTATATACACAGAGGTGTGTCCCGTAATCTGTGGGGAGAATAGACGAAAGGTTTGAAGTTTTTGATAGGCGGAGGGTTGGGGAGTTTCGGTATATTATCTATTTGGACTATATTACTTTTGCATTTCACAAAATGAAACTTTGCAATAAGGACTCGCTAAGGAAGACACACGCTAACGAAATGAGGGAAAAAAAACGAGCGAACATGGCTAGAAATGGCGAAAAACCTTTACAAATGATAAATTTGAGTAAATCACGTTCATTTTCTTTTGGATTGATAAACGTGCACGGATTTAAATTGTTGAAAATTGTGAACGTAAGGTTTGTGTTTGATTAATTTCACGTGTATTTTCAAAGTTTTCGCTACATACGACGAGCGCTCAATCAGGATCAAGTTAACATGCTCTTTCGACATCAAAATTGTCTGCACCAACCAGCATTCAATCAATTGTCTCGTATGTGAAAAGAGTGCTGATATATAAACTAATCTTCTTTTTTGACAGTACTTGAGCAAGAATTCGATAAGATTGTGTTAAAACCTAACCGAAGATGTCGGTAGTTGCTCCAAGACTGGGACTGTATCTGCTGGTTCCTCCTTTCCGCTCTGATCAGTTTCCATTTTCTCGTGACCTTCATCCTCGTCTCGCAACTCTCCGTCTTCCAAAACCAGTCCCATGTGCGACTCGGACGCGTTCATGTGTAGCTGTCCGTCCACCCAGGCGAGTTCTGCGTCACGCGCGCAGGAAAATTGCAACGAACTCACCAGGGCGTCTCGCAATTTCACCTAAGGGTTAACCAAATGAAAGACTGATTCCTAAACTTATTTTAACGTGTCGCATGCATGTAGATGACTTTAACGGAGTAAAAGGGAGTAGCATGTCACGCATGTTTGCTCTCAGTAGCTTTCTGTTGAATAGAAACACTGAGGTTTCATCTGTAACTTTGGCCAAGTTAACACAAGCAAGTATTTCCCCCTTAATTGCTATTTTTTTTCCACCAGAAAATGATGATCCAAGGCTTCTGGCGCGAAGAATGGGACGACAGAAACAAGCTTATTCTTGATCACTCACTTGGTAAATGTATCTTTCTCCCGTGGAATCCACAGTATCACCACATCGCGGAGTAAAAACCTGGTTCACCTGAATGCTGCTGTTCTGCCGACAGTATTCCGCCAAGTGTTCTGTAGCATCTGCAACACCGTGCACGAGAATCTGTGAAAAAGGAAACACATGAGCAAATGAATAGAAGCCAAAAAATTGGTGAAAAGGTAAATAACGGCCTGAGCTTATCCAGCTTTAAGTTGCATCAAGCGAGTAGGACTCCCCTCGTATGGGATACTAGTCCATTTTAGTGTCTGTCACTCGATTAATGGATGAATTTTCCAATGGATGAGGCAACAAAAAAGATCGTTTGTTGGAGAACAAAACGTTACTTAACTCCACAGTTAATTTTGTAACCGCCTCCTTCCCAACATTCCATATTGCCGACTTTATTACAATTAGAAGGCGAAAACATTGATTCACGGAGGAGCGGAGAGGGCGCGAGAAAATGGGGAACATTACAGGATGCAAATAATTGCCTCAAAAATTTCCAACTACATTGCACAAAATACAGACTTACAAGATTCCTTGGATTAACAAGGGAGAGAATTCTCTTGATGGATTCTCCATCTGACCTTCCTTCGAAATCGATATATACCATTGAACATCTAAAACAAGAGACGCATTCATTGAGATGAAGAAAGTAGGAATGAATAACTAACATTAAAACACGTTAAAAAACAAAACGTTTATTGATTTAATATAAGAACAAGAAATATGCTGGACTACAAATTGGCTGAAAAATAGAAAAAATTAAAACAAAACACAAAAAATGAGCTCGGAAATGGAACAGAGAAAGATGTTTTATTCGTCTTGTAACGAGCATGAGACAAGTTAACGGGCATTCGATTCAAATCATTGGATTGTTCTCTTGTTGCCGTTTGACTGGGCAATTAACATTGCTACATATTCGCAACAATAATTTCTCCAAAATCCGAAGTAGCTTTATCTATAATACAATATGTTAAATTTGTCTTAGAAAACACGTTGTTATTCTGATAGTTTGATCTCACCTGATGTTAAGCTGCTTCCTTTCCACCACACATTTTGTTGGCACTTTTGACATTTCACCTGAAAGAAAAACCAGTAAGTTGCTCTTCCTGGAATCTTAAATGCAATACCCTACCAATAAGTTAGCTACAAGAGAAATCAAATGGCCCAACTTTTTAGGGCAACCTCCCTGCATACTAAGAACTTGTTTAAGTGAAAGGTCTCATGGCGTTACAGTCTCTTCGGCAGTTAATGTCTGGTATCGTCACGCAATCCTTCAGAGAACATGATACGTGACGCGAAAGAATAACAGCTACAAAGGAGACCGTGTTTTACCCAAAGAATCGCATGCTACTAAGGAGTGGAGTCTTTGAACCATTTACTTTAACTTACCCTGCCCTGCAATAGCTTCCGTGTCTAAGGTTTCCTTTTTATTCTGCTCCTGTTAAGTTGAAGACAAAATGAGAATCAAACTTCTGAAAATCTTTTGAAGTGTCTTGATATTTTGAAGAATTTACTGGGAACGGATCAAACTTCCTTCACATAGGAGAACAGATAAAAAAAGTGAAAGATGATGTTTTTTCAGTTTGTAACTCGAGCATACGCTACAAAACAATGCTACTAACGGGAATCAAATCAATACATCAGCACCTCAAATACGCCAAAAAAAATTTCGGGATAACAAACTCGTTTATCTGGCTTTATCAAGTCAAGGCTGCAATTAAGCTCTCCATCCGTGAATCGCGCGGGATACGTTTCAATGTCTTGCATCTTATCTCACTTTCCGCTTAAAGGTCCCTTCCCAAATTGCGAGCGTGCTCGAAGGTTACACAAACGCCAGAAATAAAGTAGGAAAACAAAAAGATTTAAAGATAACTATGGCCGCAGAACGATTACAAACGAAAAGAGATTCTCTTGAGAGCAAAGCAGGAGTTGGGGATATGTCTTTTATCTTATTACAGAGGGGAAGATGTACAATTTGACAAAGGAGAGATAGCTTTCTTAGATTGATGTGGAACGAGAAAGATACTGGGCTTAAAGATTAACATCTATCAGGACAAAGCTTTATTCCTCCTCCCACAAAAAGAATCACTTTTCTCACCACTTTGGCCTTTTCTTCTTCTGCTGCTGCCAGTTCTTTGATCATGAAATCCTCAGGCCTGTTTTAATCACACAACGAAAAACGGTCACAAAAAGATACGCAACTTCACGCCACGAGACCTTCCCAACTTGTATGGTCATGTTGAATACTTACAAACGAACAATGTCTTAGCCTTAAAAAAACTACTCTAAAAGACATTTAGTAACAGGAAAAAATCTGCACTTAAGTATTTCCGAAAATATATAAAGTAGCATCCCACAGTAAGATTTTCTAGCAATCTGGCTTCAAAGAGGGATTTTTTTAAATGCAGCAACGCAGCAGGGAACGTTCGAGTGTTGACTCACTTAATAAACTCTCCATAATCGTCCCATTTGATTTTCTCTTCGTGGCAAGGGAACATAGGATATGATCTAGCTTGTTTGAAGAAGCTGCTCTTGCGGCCTCCCTAAATAAAGAAAAACAGATGTACAGCTGTAGCGATAGGTTTGTACCCATTTTATGTCCGAGCAAAATTCAATCGCTTAGAGGTAAACAAAACGAACAACTGCAGGAGCTCGAACACTGAAGCCTGAGGCGACCAAGAGTGCTGGAATACCAGTCTATAACAGATTCTTCCATCCTTCGAGTATATTTATTTCATTCAATGAAAGGGGAGAGAAGCCACGTAAGAGAAAACCTCCTTGTCTAGCGCTAAAAACCCTGCATCTCTTGATCCAGATACTAGCACTCTGGACGTTGAACCAACATATCCCTTTTAACCTGGTTAAACAATACTTATTGCATGGCTAAGCTCTGTAAGCGAGGAATACGAGTCGAATCCTGTGTTTTGATTGGGCACGACTGCCTGCATTGATGCAGCAAAGAGAAGAGAGAGCTTTGTAACCGCAAAGAAAAATAGAGTCACACACTCGTCTAAGAACATTAACAAAGGAAGAACTGGAATACATGACTCAAGTTATTAATTCTTCGTTGTAGTCTTTTTGCTTAATAACGAATACTATTTTGACCAAGCTTCAGCAAGATTGGATTTTCGCCAAGTTCAAGTCTTGCATTTTTAATGGACCTCAAATATTTAACGGTATTAAACGCAGAAAGGATGAGACGACACATATATAACTATTTTCCCCACTGTGTTTGTAATCTTTTTTTTTTACCTTTTCGTCTGTCATCATGAGATCATGCCTCACACCTCCATCCAAATCCTCATCACTGTCACTATCACTCTCTTCGGCCGTGACGCGATGACTGAAGATAGAAACCAGGACAGTTTATACGAATTCCAACGGAACACAGAATTCTTGTTAATGACGCAAGAAAACGGCAACTAAACAACATGACTTGATCTGTTCAGTTACCTTCTGTCCACCGCATCAGATGTGGGTTTGTTTTTCTCTTTCTCCTTTTCCTTCTCCAGATATCTCTCTAATTCTTCTCCTTCCAATTTGACTCTTGATTTCACCTTGACACAAGGGAAATAATTATCCGCGTAAACATCTATCACACTTGAAGACTCATTTGTTACTGGCATCAAATTAATTAGTTTGGTGTTTAGATGACGTATTTATCTATTCTCGTCACCTTTGTGCTTGTTAGTGAATTCATATTTTGAAGATAAGTTATGTGGGTTAAAGGATTAATGGTTCATTTCCAGCCGAAAAAGAAAAACATCAATAACAAGAGAGAAAAACACACACACACCAAAATAACGAAAAGTGATTTTTGCCTCGAAAAGTAATCAGTCAATTGTTGCGGTGAGCAAAAGAAGAGAACACATTCAATTCTCAACTTGAATCCGATGTTCTCTGTTTCATCAACAGTGTAACCTAAATTTTCTTATACTTTCTTTCATATTTCTTATTTTACAATAACTCAATGCACCTCTATATCGATGATCTTCTGCTGTAAGTTGTCAATCAAAGTGCGAGCCAGTGCACCAGGCGAAGCTCGACTGGTAAATACGACTGTATTTTTGGGGTTCTCAGCCCATTTTATGAAAAGTTCTCGTGAGAAGCCACATGTCAAATCTGCTACTGATGCTAAAACAACCCTTGGTTCAGGGATTTTGTCCAAGTCTGACATATAATGACACAACGTGCAGTATCTACAAGAAAGGGACCTCTTATCATATCTCTTATCTTTTAACAGAAGGCGAGTGAAAACAACGTCTTAAACCAAAATGTATGGTTTTGCTATCGTTTTACAAAAATTTAAGAAGGCAAAATATGAAGTTTAGGGCAAATCATTTACCAACTCACTGCCAGGAAAACACGATCATATTCATTACTAAAAAACCAAGAGCAGGGTTACTTCCCACTGGCCACTCTTGGGGAAGGCCGTGTCTCAAACTCCCATTAAAAATATACATGTACTATCTGACTTAGCTTAATGACTAATGAATGCCACAATACAATATTAAAATAAATATGCATTTAAGTACCAAAAACCAGAGAAACTATCCATTCTTGACACCTAGGTCCATATGAAAGGGGAAAGTCTGACCGATACTCTCAAAGAACTCTCTTTTGAGGGGTATTTGGGAAATTGAGATTCCTTTGAACCAATAATGTCTACAGAACAGAGCAGAGATTTTCACACCCATTATACAAGGACTGATTGTGACCAGCTAATTTTAGACCTTGCTACGAAATCCTAGCCTACTCATTTGATACAAACCTAAAGTGGTAAGGGTTCATCCTGCCAACTTCAAATGATTTCATAACTTTGTCACTCATCCATTCCACCTGAAAAGAGAGGAGAACATCCCTTTAGTTTTTACTGTTCTATGCATACTACTGACTCAACAGAAATCGACCAAATCCAATGAAATTATGTTAGAAAGTAAAAGTTTCATAATTTGGCCATGATACCCTAAGAGAAAAAGTATTTAAAGTAGACTCTTGATATCTCAAACCTTCAAGGGGAATTGAAAAAAAGTTCAAATTATCGGGAGTTTGAGTTATCAAGGGTAAAACTGCAGTAAATGTAAGACAGAATTCCAGAGGAAATAAATTTTGGTTTGAGTTAGTATGACATTCGAGTTAGCAAGGGTTCAAGTTATTGGGAGTTGACTATACTAAAAATACTCACTTGTGACTTGGCAAACTCAACAACATTGTAGCTGACATTATTCAACATCGCAAGAGAGTAGGCTGATAAACCTGAATCAGAGTTCCGCCATAACTGATCCTATACAATGAAAAAGAAAACACTTTTGAGAGGCTATTCTATCCTTGCCCAAAATTCTTAGTAAGTCCCACTTCCTTAATAAGCATACCATCTACTAGAGTGTCAACTTCCAAAGATCTCCCTTTTCCTCCCCTTCATCTGTATTGTAGACTGAAACCATTAGCTGGTTTTATTATCCATTTGGGTTAGGTAAGTTATTCATACCTGTATACAGTTCTGGTGTTGAGTTCCAATTTAAGGAACAACAAGAGAAATATGCCTTGCAGAAAGATAAACATGTACCATGGTATCAACAACTTACCAACAGTTGAGATAGTTCCAAAACTCTTCCAGCTGTATCCACAACAATGAGTACATTACCATCTCTTCTAGCTGTAGTGAGGATCTCATCTTTGTTAAGCAGAGAAAATTAAGCAAAAAGACAGATGGATAGAATAATACAGTATAATTATATAAGCTACAGTATTTTAGTCTGTGTCCTGTATTGTAAATACAAAGGTAAAAGCAAGATTTAACCTCTGTTCCAAAGACTAAACCACTTATTACCCACAATGCCCTATAAACATTGCATGTGGTTTTGAACAGATATAAGACAATCATGACTAATGTATGGTATGGGTTAAAACTTTTATTGTACAACTTTTTGGTATATGCAAGTCAGTGTATTCCTTTTTATACAATGTACATGTACATGGATATTACACATGATTATACCATTGATTTGCAGATATAACTGAAAGCAAAAAGTAATAATTATTTAACCACTTAAGAATTCATCCTGACATTTTGTTTCTTATGTTCATTGTTAGTTCTTACTCATTAGCTGGGTGTCTCTCTCTCTTCTTCTAGTTTGTACGTTAAGTGCATTGTAGCTGTCTGTAATAAGCAACGATGGTCTGCTAAGGGTTTCCAAAACAGCTCCATTCAAATGCCTGGCGAGGGAAAGCCCAGCTCATAATCACTTACAATGCTATAATCAAGAGATAATTCAGGGACCACTCTCTAAAATTCAGGTTTTCTAGCCCACATTGTAACAGGCACTTGGCAGTAATTCACATAAAACCTTTGTTTGATTTTTTTCTTAAGAAAAGTACATTTCAAGGTCAAATTTTGGTACAAATTTAACTTACTGTGTGTTCAAATTGAAGGAAACACAAGATAAGAAAAAACCAACCAGCTAAGCTACAAAACTCTATCAAATTGGGTAAGCTTAATACTGTAATTTTAGCCATGCTCACAAGTGAAGGAGCTTAGCAGCCAGTGGTTGCTGAAACTTGAACACTGGTCACATACTGTAAAAAGGCACATACTTATTTAACATGTACTGTACTCCTTCTTTAGTCAATTGTGAGATCAAATAGTGTATTTTCCTTTCTCATGGTTAGCTGTCTCATCTATACTTCTGTACAATGTACCTTTCAGAAATCAATAAATGTCCCAGGAATCTCATTGGGTAATCATGAGAGAATGGAATCAATGTCAAATACAGATCCGATACTTAAGCCTTATAAACAACTTGAAATGATTTTTTGTGAACTTTGTTGGCAAGAAACTAGATCCACTGACATGATCTGAACAGATGCATGTAGACCATAAGCAAGCAACTCAGGTGAAATACATGCTCTGTCAAGCAAATAACAGGTTACTGGTATGATCACTGTCACCAACCTTTCTTTCTTGTGATTGTAGTCAACAGCATAAATTATGTCCTCCTCACCATCTTTCACAATTTTCCACATGGTTCCACCAATCATATGACCAGCTGCATAAGGCGTTATGGTCAAACCATGGCCTTTACTTGCAAAATTTTTCAAAAAATAATAGAACTCAAAAAAAATGACTGACTAGAATTTCAGCTCTCTCAAATACATGTTTGTCTACATAAAATCTGAAACTCTTCAAGAGAAAACTGGAACCCTCTAATTTCACCACAAGGGTAGTAATACTACGAAAAGGAACAACAATCCTTAGCAAGACAATTCACCTACCTCCAAGTGACACAAAAATTGTTACAACAAAATACGATAAGAATTACGAGGTATAGATGTTATTCATAAATTTATTATCAATTTGGAATTACCATTCATAAATGTGCCTGCCTTGTACTTTCTTCAAATTACTTTTTGTTCTGAATATCTCAGAAAATAGTCAATGATTTAGAACTAATTGAAAATAGTTCTTTTTTGCAAATTTCAAAACAGAACTTAGTAATTCTGTAGTTATTTCAGCATTTTCATAAATCTTATTGAATATCACCTTATAGTAAATTTCCAACAGAAACAAAAAACAATAACAAAAGAAATCAGTAGGTGCTTGTTATGAAAAAAATATATATATCCTGACCTTTCAAGCTGACATTTTGAGAGTACTTAAGCTGAATGATTTTATCAAAGGCAGCATCTACATCATCCAGGCTAAATACATCAAATTCTTCATAGTTTTGATGTGACTGAAAGACAAAATGTTCAGCAATTTGTCATTAACTGTTCAAATGATAGCAAGTAAATCACAAAAGATACTGTATCATCTAAAAATAGTGAGTTGATAAATTGTTTTGGGAACCACAAGAAATTGCTGAAAAAGGCCTCACTGCCCAATATAGCTGGATAAAACAGTAAAGAGAAGGAGGAAAATCTCAATTATTGCAGAATGTTGTAATGAGTGTCAAGCTGCATTACTTTGGCTTTAAGGAGCTCTACCATACTACCATAAGTCTTAACCCATTTATTCCCTTGACTTCATAACTAACTCTCTTTACTGTCAGCCATACAATTCTTATTATGTTAGTTTGGTGAATTTGGTATTGGATCAACTAATAATCCCCCAATTGATATTTTCCTTTATTCTCATCATTTCATCATTTCCCTTTTTGATATTGTAGTGATGTTAAGACAAGAAATTCTGTCATGGTTACTCATGAGATTTAAAACTTTCTAGTCAGCCTCATTATCTGGAGAAGGCTTCAAGTAGCAACATGTAGTAAGGAAGACATGATCTACATCAGAACTGTCACACTGGGTGACAAACTATTATATTTTTCAATCATTGTACTTCACCACCACAAATTACCACAACCCAAATTAAAGATACACGTAATTTTACCTGTATGCTATTTGAGAGATACATGTAAATCAAGCCATTTATTTTGAAAGTGATAGTCAGAGTCTGAAACTTGCACATACCTGATATAGGTCATACATAAACATCTGACCCATCTTGTACACAGGAATTGTGGCATAGATTGGACAGTGAAGACCACATTTACCCACCAAGTATGGCAGTGCACCCATGTGGTATATGTCAGGAAATGTGATCAGTACAGCATCTATTTGATGTATGTACCTATGGTAAAATATTCAAGATATAAATAAAATTCTCAAAACAAGCGACTCATTAATCTGAAAGTGTCATGCACGCTAGCGATACATGCGTGTAAATGCTGTCCAACGACGACCATTACTCTGAGTAGAGGTGTAAGCCCCTCCACAAAACTCTCTTCAACGCAGGTTTAGTACTCCTACCCAAAAGAAACCAAAGTTAATTGTTGATTCCAGGCAAAAGTTTACCATACACTTACTTCTTTATAGGTTCTATGATCTCTGCGTTGAATGACTCGTTCCAACCACAGTCAAGAAGGAATCTGAACTCGTCGACTTGAAGAAGGTAACAAAGAGGCCCTTCATCATACGCTCCAGACAAAACTGACAACTTGATAATAGAAGTCATCCCTATCGAACCTCAGCCCTCCAGCGACTCAAGGAAAGTTGATCCACATGTGGAAAATGCACTAGACAGCATCACTCGTCCGCCATATTGCTTTTCTCCCGTAAGTCATTGCAGGTAGGAAACCTTCTCATTGCATTCTGGGTAATCCTTCCCAGACGAGAGGGAAAACTGAGTTAAGAAAGAACGTTAGAACGTAGATTGAATACCTATGGCCAACTTGTAGTAAAAATCTTGTGTTTATCTCATGTTTGTAAATTTGCAATTAGTGGTCTTTATGCAATATGCAAGATTTCTCTTATCGCACAAAGCCGATGCTATCAGTGGCAGATCCAGACCTTGAGCCAAGTTGGGGGGGGGGGGGGGGCGGTTTTTTGCCGCTTACCCTGCCGCCTTTTCTTCCTTCTGCGATTCTTTTTTTTTTTTTTACCCAAAATAAGGGGGTGGGGGGGGACTGACCCCCGGGTCCCTACCTTCGATCCATTACTGCACATATTACGAACACCATATACGTGAGGGAATGAATGTTGGAAATTTGAATCATGCTTTACGTTTATAAACTTTTCCACCCGTTCCAAAGAACATACCTTTTGGAAGCTCGCTCGCTTATCACAACCAAAAGAAAAAATCAGTTCAATCTTCTTCTTCCTCCTTTGAGGACACCGGAGGAGTGTTATTTGATAGATAATTACTTCGGCTCACGGCACTGACAGTGATATTGGATATACCCGCAGGCACCAAATTGTAAACAATTATTGGATGAGGTTTTTGTGATATCCAGAATAATCTAGGTGGAGCCTTACCAAGATCTTGATTATTCTGGATATAATAAAAACCGAATCTAACAATTGTTTTATTTTACATTAAACGAAAAAAAAAAGGTCACAACGATAAGTGAAGCTGATAGTTTATTTCTAAACGTGTAAAAATATACAATTCAGCAAAGCGCGCGAACTTGACATGAGTACCCTTAGAAATCAGGTACCGCGGTCATACATAACATTTTAGTAAAGGGGTAAGTTTCTAAGGAACTGCGGTGCAGCGTCGGTGGGAGAGTATAACAGGGCAAATTGGAGTTCAAAAGCTTTTTAACTGAGTAAAACTGGTCGTTGTTTTACAAGCTGACTACTAAGCAACGTATATAATTTCAGTTTGATCTGCAACTGTAAGATTTAGGATTTCACTCAGTTTGGACATGACTGTGTACAGGGAGTTTATTATCGTAAGTGACAGCTTTCTTTCAATTTCAGAAAAGGGTGGCCTCGGAAATGTTTAAGGTTATGACCTGTGTTCAGGATCACAGACTTTAATCTTATTTTGAGACATATGCACTTGACCAAAGGAGCAATTTGCTGGCGATGAAACAAGCAATCAAGTATACTAATAATCTATCTGAAATGAGACACTAATCACAGCATTTGGGTATTGTTTTCTTTTAAATAGTGTCATGGAATCAGTGGCTGTGCACAAAGAATGACAGTAACCAGAAATTTTGGGCTCATTTGATAAGCGTTATGATTGTGGCAAAGAGCCTCGACGAGTGAGGTTGAGATTTATCGGGATATGAAAGGTTCGCATTTATTTTTATCGTATAATTTTAAAGTTAAAACGTGTTTTTTCCGCTCCTTTTCTTGCAACACACACGCCAAACTATCATGTACTACGAAAACAACGTCCAAAGTCCAATCAAAACATATCCAATCATTGCAGTGCATGAACATTAGGCAATTTTTAACGCGCTTGAATTGTATTCTACTAATCAAATTCCATTTTGCCACATTAGACTTCGCGCCATCACATGCCGTTTCCTTGTGAAGAATCTGCATTTTATCACGTATTCTAACCTCATTAACCAACACCACTAAAAATTCACATGAAACTTCATGCTACTGATAGTGGATTTTCCACGCATTCTCCCGCGTTTTGAGTTTTTCTACGAATAAAATTTGCTTTTAGCTACCTTGGAATTAATCCAATCGCGTGTGAACAACCTGCATTTTATCACGTATTTTACACACAGAGGGGAAAATCCAGATAGGCAACAACCAATCAAGGAGCCCTTTTTGAAATAATATGCTTTTCTCTTGCTCAGTGTTTCTTCTGCTATACGAGATCGCAATATATTGTCTATCGGAGATACAACGGTTTCACTTTGCCTTTCGGAGTAAAATTGCGTGGAATTATATTTTTAAGGCAACTACTTATAGACCTATAATTTTGATTTTCTTCCTGTTAGGGGAGCAGCAGTAAGCGTAGTCTCTTTCGCAACCGTTATTTGGTCTCGTCACGCAATGGCTCTCTCTCTAACGGGGAGGGCGTTGTGTGACGAGACTAAACAACGGCTGCGAAGGAGATTACAGTAAGCCTTGCGCCGATGCATTTAAATTTTGCTCAGAAGTATTTAGACATTAGAGACAATGGACCGCAAAATACCTGTGTGAGTTTAGATAAATTATGTTTTTTCTCTTTCTTTTGAAGTGAAATAATGCGATATTTTCGTTCTTTTGAAATTATAGGAACACAAGGTGTCCCATCTCGACCTACTCAGCTAAAAAAGGTAACTCCTGCATGCTATGCATGCCTATGATTTATTATCAATCCCTTTTAACAGCATAAATGCCTCTTTTACTCATGCTGAAGCCAAAGATTCCATAGGTTGTTTACATGAAGAAGATTATCTAACAGTCACATTTACAATTAGTTTTGTACCGGTAATAAGTTTCTAGTTCTCTTTCCTATTTGAAGTCTCTTTTCCATCGCCTCTGCTTTGTTAACGTATTTGATCTTATATTCATCCTCCAAAGAGGCATTTACAACTCTGTCCAGGAGATCGGCCTTTTTAAGGGCTGATAGCCTGTTGAAATATCTAGCAATTTGAACGACTGAAAATCATTCCTCCCTGGAGAACAATTTGTCAGGTGCATATGATAGCAAACAATTACAGTAAGGACGTTTTTAATTTCAGTTATTTACTACTTAATATTTATAACTTAATATACTTCTAGAGGGTCTCAATGGAGTTCACCTATAGCCATAAAACTGCCAAAAAATTTAACCGTTAAGCGTAAAAATTGTCAAACTTTAACCGTAAGTCGTAAAAATATTTACCTCAAAAAAGGAAAAAAAAATTCTGATAACAACTCATGGAATGATGTAAATAGTTAGGTGTAACAGGCAAAATTTTAACTGTTAGCTGTAAAAGCCATCACCCCATTGAGTAACCCTCCTCCTACTACAATGAGCCCATAGCTCTCAAATGCGACTTGTTTGGCTTTGACCGTGTAGCCTTGGAAAATGAAATTTACCCGAATTTGGAGAAATCAGGTAATGTTGACATCAATACCAAATTAAACGGGAAGCAAGCTTGTCAAGCCTACAATTGTTTATTATTTTTCTAAGACAAGGAAGAACCTAAATAATATAAAATTTTTATCTTTCAAATGAGGTAAGACCAGTGATATTGTTATTTTCGAGCAAATTACTGATCCAATCCGTCCGTTTTGTTGTTCGTCTATTATAACAGTTAGTGTTTTTGTCTTCGATCATGCAAATCACTCCCGCAAGAAAATGAAAAGTTCATGGGCACAATGCCTCGATTTTCACGCACAAATAGCTTACTGTTTAAAGATAGAATCTCAAATTGTACTCTCGATCTGACCGATCTCGTGAAGAAAATCCAACCGGTCCAAAAGGGATGACCACTGAAGCCTAACGTTTCCCGTTAAAGAGAGCAACATGTTTCATTTTTGGATGCTAAAATCCATTATTAGTTATAAAACGTGCCAAACCGAAATACAGTCACTCAATTTTTTTTAGCAATTTTGGCTTCGATCATGCAAATCACACCCGCTAGAAAATGAAAAGTTTACGAAGACAATTAGTCGATTATCACTTAAAGATAGCTTTACGTTTGAAGAATGACACTTAGGTTGTGCTGTGATCAATCGTGTGATGAAAATCCAACCGTTCAAAGGGGTAAACACTAAAGCCTGACGTTCCCCATTAAAAATAGAATAACACCTTTTTTCATGTTCAATTACATCATTAGTAATAAAAGTGTGATGTAGAAAACCGAAATACTGTGTACTTATTGATTGAGTGGTAGAGGCGCGGCGAGGTCCTTGCTTCATGACCGAGAGCTAAATATTTTCCCGTCCAGCCCAACTAAACTCAGTCAAAAAGAATTTTATCATACGAACACTAACTGTTGAAAATTTCAACTTAGTAGGACGCGATTGACGGGCATACGAACACAAAAAAAATTCTGCAATTACTAATTGAAAACTTTTCCTTTTCATTTCGACTAGCCAAGAGGGGGGAAGAGAATAACCTAAAACAAAAGTGATCTGGATACCCAAAACACTGTGATAGCGTTTCGGAAGGTTGGGAAAAGTCCCAATTGTAATTCGTTATTTTTGTTGTTTCATTTTGAAAGCATCAGCCACATTGTCAACATGTTGGTAAGTACGATTGAAAATCTTTTCTAGTCACTCGATTTTTACTACTTTTTCGATGTTTGTGTTTGCAATAATTTGTTGCAATAATTTGTAGTTATGTCTCATTTCGAGCGTTGGCCTTTCAATAAAGCGGTTGATGGCGCGATTGAATCGCCATCACAGTGAAATAAGTTCGTTCTACGGCGACTTTTTCAAATCTCTATGGCTTTATATGGTATAATCTATCTACATTAACTAAGGTTATTGAGTATCGTTCAATTTGAGAAATTGATGATCATAAAACTAAATTCAGACCTCTATTTATGTTGTGGACTGTTCCTCGCGATTATCATAGGAAATCTGTAGTGCTTCATTATGTGGTTTTCCAGTGGCTATGATCTGCATTAGCTATTAACTTGACTTTGTTTTAGGAGGCTTCAACGAACGATTCAAAGATCGCGGTAGATTCAAATTATATTTCCGTTTTCTTCTCGTGCACAAGCGTTTCATGGTCGAGATACCCTTCACTTCAATCTTTGGATACTAGCGGCGGGTGTTACGGCATATATTTTTCTAAAGGCCGTAATCTGTTTCTTTGTCTGTTAAAGCGCCAGAGTCTCGCATAAAAAGATGAGTCACAACGCTGCGCGCTCACGAAGAGAGATGTTTTAATATTCTTAGAGAAAATAAAACTTACTTAAATTCATCGTAATTGCATACATAGTATAGGTATACTTTTCCGTTGAACAGATGCTTCATATCTCCGCTGTTAAATTTCTTTCTTCAAACCATTATGGTTTTATCTAATATTGTTAAGCATTGTTTAATTTGAGAAATTGATGGGTTCCACAATCACGTGATTAAAAAGTAAAATCAATCCTATATTAAGACATATTTATTATGCGGGCTGTCCTTTCCTGATGTCAGAGGATATTTGCGGTGTTGCAGTTCGTGGTTTTCAAGTGGCCATAGTTTTCATTAGTAATTCACGTGACCTTGTTAACCTTTTGCGAAAGTACTTATGTCTCGCATAAGAAGAGAGGTCAGTCTATGACACCACGTGCTCACGGAGAGAAATGGTATAATTCTTTGTAAGGAACTGAAGGAAGCGTAGCTGATCACTGCGTTTAATTTTCAAATGTGAGTAGTTTACAGAGCCCAGCCGTTAAATTGGTTGAGAAGCTTAGCTTTGTTAGGTTTTAAAATGAACTCAAACAACATTCTCTCTGAAATCTGAATACTTTGTCATTGCTAATTCACAAACTCATAGTTTCATGCCTGAACAAATGAGGATAAAGGGAGATTACAATCTTTTCACTTCCATTACGTCATCAGGCAAACTTTTGTAAATTAGATGACCAATTAAATAACAACCAAAACGTTGACCTACCTTTTAAATGGTCAAAAATGTGCAGAACAGCATTATGTGTTTTTAACTTAAGTCAAGATGTTTGTAAAGGAAAAATGTCGACTGTTTTTCATTGTTTTTGTCCTTTCACTTTTGTAAGTATCAGCTGCGACATCGATAATTTTGTATTGCTTTTTAGAGTAACTTCATCGTAACTTTAGCTTTAACTCTATGGTTACTTGTGGTATGAGTAACTTTTTAATCGCAAAGGCTAAACATGATTGCTAATTTGTCCTGTCCTGTGACTATTAGGTCATATCATGTTGAGCAAAAGTTACCACCGGAGTGAAATGAATTAGTTGCAAAGCCAGACTTCGTCAAAGGTTTGTGGCCCGGCATCTTGTTCATCATTCTCATCGGCGAGGAATAGATTCGTTTTCGGTGACATTTATTTGATAAGTAAGCTCGTTACTTGGTAACAGCCTGCTCCAACAATATTTTCAAATGTTGCATGCCATGTTGCGGAATATCAAGGAATCTTCCAGACGGTTGTGATAAAAGGTTATCTTTATTGTTACATAAGAACTGAAACGCTTTAAACTCGAGTGATGTAGCCTGATCCCAAGAGGCTTCATTGTAAATACGTTCTGACGGCCGGTAGAGAAATGCAGATGAAAAACGAAGCATTATATTGATACTGCAGACCTCTCTCAGCTGGTTTCTTTGCGGAATACTGGCAACACAACATCATTTATTCTCCAAGATTATCATATGCTCTAATGAAGGGCTAATGCTCGAGACGTCAGCTTCAGAAACTCATTACGATGGCCAATTTACATTGTTAACTCAGTCGGTAAAGCCAAATTGTTTTGTAATACCTCACCAAGTTTCCTCAGAAACTTACCCCATGGATTGTTTTTTTTCAGAAACTATCCATGGAGAAAGTTCTCATAGAAAAAGTTGAGATAAATGCTGTTTTGCTTATCTTTTTCCTGTGACTATTACGTCATGTCATGTTGTGCAAAAATCGCAACCTAAATAAAATGAAAGGAGAAAAACCGTGCTTGTCAAACCGTGTTTGTCAAACCGTGTTAGTCAAACCATTGTTACCTCAAATCTTGGGAATCATGCTCATCAGTTACGAATAGATTCGTTTCAGCCACATACTTTAGATAAGTAAACTCATTACTTGGTGATAAACTGCTGGAACAACATCAAATGTTTCCAGAACGTTGCAGTAAAAGGTTTATAAATCCTTCTTATTTTTTTTTTTTTTTTTTTTAAGAAACCCCCTAACTTTCAAAAACCCCGTGATTGGTGGCGAGACCCTCGACACACGACCATTAGTCAAACTCAAGCATGCGTCAATTTTTGTTACGTGATAAGATGAACAAACAAAACAGATAGATCACTTGGATAACAGTTGACTTTCACAGCGTGACAGTCGCACAATCCGTTTTTCAAAAAAACTGTGCAGGTCAAATTAATCTTACAAGTTTCACCGAATGTGATCCGTTCATGTGCTCCAGTTGTACTTATCCACGCCTCCTCTTCACTTATTTTTTATTTTAGGTCGATATTATGAATTCTAACACCTTCATCTCGTAACAAAAAGTTTCCAGGTGTATTCGACCCAGCCCGTTTTTGTAACTTCACATATTGGTTCCTGTTTGTAGTCGGTGACTCATTATGAATCCAGTTTATCGAATCGTTCGGTTAATTTGTGTTACTAAAAATAATGTTTCCCTAATAACAGGAGAGGATGGCAATGGAAACCTAACGCCAAGAGCCATGGTAGCTTCCGCGAACATCGCCTTGTTAGTTGCCGTGTTCCTGCTAAACTCAGATCGCATTCAGAAAGCCATTGAGATATGCAACGAATGTTTGATTTTGCTAAATAACACCGATCAAAACAGAAAAGACCAATTTGACTCACCACAGCTACAATTTTACGGCGCCTTCTATGAAGTTCTTTTCAGCGCCTATTGTCGTATCTCTGACTACATTAGTGCGGAAAGATGCGGCAAGAAACTGCTTGTCTTATACAGCGAGTATGGTGACTTAGTGAAAGAAGGAAACGTAAGCATAGCTCTAGCAGAGATTGCCGAGAGTCTAATAAAGTTTGCAAATGCCAAACAACTTTATGAAAAAGCGGTTAAAATAAAGAGACAAAGTGGTGATAAAATTGGAGAAGCAAACGCCTGCACAAGACTCGGAACTATGTTATATAAACTCGGCGAAAACCTAAATGCGAAAGAATATCTTGAGAAGGCCCTTACCATAACAACCAAAATTGGCGACCAAAGAGGAAAAGCATCCTGTTATGAAAAACTAGGTAATGTATTTGGGTCTCTCGGGCAATACGACAAGGCTAAAGAGTATCTCCAAAAGGCGCTTGTCATCAGAACTGAGATTGGCGACAGAAAAGGAGAAGCATCATGTTATGGAAACCTAGGTACTGTGTTTCAGTCGCTCGGACAATACGACAAGGCTAAAGAGTATCTCCAAAAGGCGCTCGTCATCAGAACTGAGATTGGCGATAGAAAAGGAGAGGCAGCTGATTACGGAGACCTAGGTACTGTGTTTGAGTCGCTCGGGCAATACGACAAGGCTAAAGAGTATCTCCAAAAGGCGCTCGTCATCAGAACTGAGATTGGCGACAGAGAAGGAGAAGCGTCATGTTATGGAAGCCTAGGTACTGTGTTTCAGTCGCTCGGGAAATACGATAAGGCTAAAGAGTATCATAAAAAAGCTCTTGTCATCAGAACTGAGATTGGCGACAGAAAAGGAGAAGCATCATGTTATGGAAACCTAGGTACTGTGTTTGAGTCCCTCGGGCAATACGACAAGGCTAAAGAGTATCTCCAAAAGGCGCTCGTCATCGAAACTGAGATTGGCGGCAGAAAAGGAGAAGCATCATGTTATGGAAGCCTAGGTACTGTGTTTTTTTCGCTCGGGCAATACGACAAGGCTAAAGAGTATCTCCAAAAGGCGCTTGTCATCAGAACTGAGATTGGCGACAGAAAAGGAGAAGCAACATGTTATGGAAACCTAGGTACTGTGTTTGAGTACCTCGGGCAATACGACAAGGCTAAAGAGTATCTCCAAAAGGCGATTGTCATCAAAGCTGAGATTGGCAACAGAAAAGGAGAAGCAACATGTTATGGAAACCTAGGTACTGTGTTTCTTTCGCTCGGGCAATACGACAAGGCTAAAGAGTATCTCCAAAAGGCGCTTGTCATCAGAACTGAGATTGGCGACAGAAAAGGAGAAGCAACATGTTATGGAAACTTAGGTACTGTGTTTGAGTCCCTCGGGCAATACGACAAGGCTAAAGAGTATCTCCAAAAGGCGATTGTCATCAAAGCTGAGATTGGCAACAGAAAAGGAGAAGCAACATGTTATGGAAACCTAGGTACTGTGTTTCACTCGCTCGGGCAATACGACAAGGCTAAAGAGTATCTCCAAAAGGCGCTCGTCATCAGAACTGAGATTAGCGACAGAGAAGGAGAGGCAGCTGATTACGGAAACCTAGGTACTGTGTTTGAGTCCCTCGGGCAATACGACAAGGCTAAAGAGTATCTCCAAAAGGCGCTCGTCATCGAAACTGAGATTGGCGGCAGAAAAGGAGAAGCATCATGTTATGGAAGCCTAGATACTGTGTTTTTTTCGCTCGGGCAATACGACAAGGCTAAAGAGTATCTCCAAAAGGCGCTCGTCATCAGAACTGAGATTGGCGACAGAGAAGGAGAGGCAGCTGATTAGGGAGACCTAGGTACTGTGTTTGAGTCGCTCGGGCAATACCACAAGGCTAAAGAGTATCTCCAAAAGGCGCTCGTCATCAGAACTGAGATTGGCGACAGAGAAGGAGAAGCGTCATGTTATGGAAACCTAGGTACTGTGTTTCAGTCGCTCGGGAAATACGATAAGGCTAAAGAGTATCATCAAAAAGCTCTTGTCATCAGAACTGAGATTGGCGACAGAAAAGGAGAAGCAACATGTTATGGAAACCTAGGTACTGTGTTTGAGTCGTTCGGGCAATACGACAAGGCTAAAGAGTATCTCCAAAAGGCGCTCGTCATCAGAACTGAGATTGGCGACAGAGAAGGAGAGGCAGCTGATTACGGAAACCTAGGTATTGTGTTTGAGTCGCTCGGGCAATACGACAAGGCTCAAGAGTATCTCCAAAAGGCGCTTGTCATCAGAACTGAGATTGGCGACAGGAAAGGAGAAGCATCATGTTATGGAAACCTAGGTACTGTGTTTCTGTTCTTCGGGCAATACGACAAGGCTAGAGAGTATCTCCAAAAGGCGCTCGTCATCAGAACTGAGATTGGCGACAGAGAAGGAGAGGCAGCTGATTACGGAAACCTAGGTACTGTGTTTGAGTCGCTCGGGCAATACTACAAGGCTAAAGAGTATCTCCAAAAGGCGCTTGTCATCAGAACTGAGATTGGCGACAGAAAAGGAGAAGCATCATGTTATGGAAACCTAGGTACTGTGTTTCAGTCGCTCGGGCAATACGACAAGGCTAAAGAGTATCTCCAAAAGGCGCTCGTCATCAGAACTGAGATTGGCGATAGAAAAGGAGAGGCAGCTGATTACGGAAACCTAGGTACTGTGTTTGAGTCGCTCGGGCAATACGACAAGGCTAAAGAGTATCTCCAAAAGGCGCTCGTCATCAGAACTGAGATTGGCGACAGAAAAGGAGAAGCGTCATGTTATGGAAACCTAGGTACTGTGTTTCAGTCGCTCGGGAAATAAGATAAGGCTAAAGAGTATCATCAAAAAGCTCTTGTCATCAGAACTGAGATTGGCGACAGAAAAGGAGAAGCATCATGTTATGGAAACCTTGGTACTGTGTTTGAGTCGCTTGGGCAATACGACAAGGCTAAAGAGTATCTCCAAAAGGCGCTTGTCATCAGAACTGAGATTGGCGACAGAGAAGGAGAGGCAGCTGACTACGGAAACCTAGGTACTGTGTTTGAGTCGCTCGGGCAATACGACAAGGCTAAAGAGTATCTCCAAAAGGCGCTTGTCATCAGAACTGAGATTGGCGACAGAGAAGGAGAGGCAGCTGATTACGGAAACCTTGGTACTGTGTTTGAGTCGCTCGGGCAATACGACAAGGCTCAAGAGTATCTCCAAAAGGCGCTTGTCATCAGAACTGAGATTGGCGACAGAAAAGGAGAAGCATCATGTTATGGAAACCTAGGTACTGTGTTTCGGTTGCTCGGGCAATACGACAGGGCTAAAGAGTATCTCCAAAAAGCGTTTGTCATCAGAACTGAGATTGGCGACAGAGAAGGAGAGGCAGCTGATTACGGAAACCTAGGTACTGTGTTTGAGTCGCTCGGGCAATACTACAAGGCTAAAGAGTATCTCCAAAAGGCGATTGTCATCAAAGCTGAGATTGGCAACAGAAAAGGAGAAGCAACATGTTATGGAAACCTAGGTACTGTGTTTCAGTTCCTCGGGCAATACGACAAGGCTAAAGAGTATCTCCAAAAGGCGCTCGTCATCAGAACTGAGATTGGCGACAGAGAAGGAGAGGCAGCTGATTACGGAAACCTAGGTACTGTGTTTGAGTCACTCGGGCAATACGACAAGGCTAAAGAGTATCTCCAAAAGGCGCTTGTCATCAGAACTGAGATTGGCGACAGAAAAGGAGAAGCATCATGTTATGGAAACCTAGGTATTGTGTTTCAGTCGCTCGGGAAATACGACAAGGCCAAAGAGTATTTCGAGAAGGCGCTTGTTATCACAACTAAAATTGGCGACAGAAATGGAGAAGCATCTTGTCATGGAAACCTAGTTAATGTGTTTCGGTCGCTCAGGCAATACGACAAGGCTAAAGAGTATCTCCAAAAGGCGATTGTCATTAAAGCTGAGATTGGCGACAGGAAAGGAGAAGCATCATGTTATGGAAACCTAGGTGCTGTGTTTCTTTCGCTCGGGCAATACGACAAGGCTAAAGAGTATCTCCAAAAGGCGCTTGTCATCAAAACTGAAATTAGTGATAAGCGAGGTGAAGCAGTAGATCTTGCAAACCTTGGAAGTGTGTTTAGAACTGTTGGAGATTATGAAGATTCGGAAGTATGCTTGAAGAAAGCTTTATCCATATCCAGAGATATTGGTGATAGAAAAAGCGAGTTCCAAATCCTTAGAGAGTACGCCATTTTGTATCTATTTCAATGTAAAATCGAAGACTCCCTTACGTGTCTTCGTCTTTGCATAAAAATTTATGATGAGCTAAGATATTTCTTAGGCGCCAATGATGAGTTCAAAACATCATTTCTGGAGGACTCAGGAATATTTCCCTACAAGCTGCTTTGTAATTTGCTTTGTGCCACCGGAAATGTGCGGGATGCTCTTTATGTTGAGGAGTTAAGTCGAGCTAGAGGCCTATCAGACTTGATGGCAGAGAAGTACTCGCTTGAAACGCACATTTCTGCTAATCCACAATCTTGGTTTAGCATTGAGAACATTTTTAGAAAGAAAAATAACTGTACTTGTCTGTACATTTCTTATTTTCACAATTGTCTGCATTTGTGGATCTTGAAAACAAGTGGAGTCCTTCACTATAAAGCAATATCACTAGAAGAGTATCTAGTTCAGGCTGGGTTGGCCAAAGATTTGCCTCTGAGTAAATTTTTGACTGATAATCTCCAGAGTCTTGGTAATTTACCAATTGAAGATTGTGAAGATCGGTCTTTAAATATGGTTGAATTGCAACCTCTTTCCCCCGAGAAAAAGAGCTCAGCAAGATTGCGACTCTTGGAGGAGGACGAGGAAGTCATTTCAAGTCTATCTTTGTGTTACAAAATGTTTATTGCCCCCGTTTATGATTTGCTTGAGGAGCCTGAAGTCATTATTGTCCCTGACCGCAGTTTGTACAAAGTTCCCTTTGCTGCCCTAAGTGAAACGGAGGGAGCCGAGTACCTGTCGGAGACTCATAGGATCCGTATCATTCCTTCTTTGACGACACTCAAGATCATTCAAGATAGTCCAGAGGACTATCACAGCAACACTGGTGCCTTGATAATAGGCAATCCCAAGGTTCATTGGCTGCTGCCATTGCCAGGTGCAAGAAAGGAAGCCGAGATGGTCGGACAACTGGTTGGTGTTTCGCCTCTGCTAGAAAAGGAAGCAACGAAGCGGGCGGTACTTGAGCGCATAAGTTCAGTGAGCTTGATACATTTTGCTGCCCATGGTAACGCCGAAAGGGGAGAAATTGCCCTTTCCTCCATTCCTATTGCCAACAGTCGAAACGATATCCCACCAAAGGAAGCTTACATGTTGACGATGGCTGATGTCTCACAAGTGAAAGTCAGAGCTAAACTGGTGGTACTTAGCTGCTGTCACAGTGGAAGTGGAGAGATAAGAGCCGAGGGAATTATAGGAATTGCCCGTGCGTTCTTAGGATCCGGAGCTCGTTCGGTGTTGGTTGCGCTGTGGGCCATTTCAGACAAAGCAACAGAGCAGCTGATGAGTCGGTTCTACGAACACCTTGTTGAAGGAGAAAGTGCCAGTGAATCCCTTCATCAGGCCATGAAGTGGATGAGAAAAAAGGGCCCTGCCCAAGTGTCTGAGTGGGCTTCGTTTACGCTGATTGGAGATGACGTGAGGCTCGATTTTGACAAGCAGAGGTAAGACTTGGCGAGAAAACGTATTTCATGAATTAAAGTTAAATTAGATGCGAAGGTGGCTATGACTTACTGGTCGCCCACTGTCGGCGGGGATCTTTTGTTACCTTGAACATTAAGGCCAGTGTAATATATATATATATATATATATATATATATATATCTGTCTATATATATATATTGAGGTAGGGAAAAAAAGGAGGTATACTTTCGTGATTACTCCCTCGTCAGGGGAAAAATAATCGGGGAAGAATACCCTGATGGGAGAGTAATCACGAAACATGCTTGTAGGGATGAAAGTATAGACTCTTTGTTTTTTCCCCATCTCAATACATATTGCGCTCTACTTCTACGTACCGAGCACTGTACTACGTAAAAAATCGACACACTTCTGATATACATATGTATATATATATATATATATTTTTTTTTTTTCTTTTCGGAGAGTTACCATCGACGCTCTCTTGTGTAAAATACAGAATCTCCAAATTGCCTCTCTGCCCATCAAGATACAAGTGTTAGCCATTCATGTTTTTAGATATTGTGCTAGGTATAATTGTATTTCCCTCAAAAAAATATTTATTTAGTTAATGAAAAATTATTTTTTTTGTATTTTTGTTCAGGAAAAAAGACCCCGACAGAGTAAGTAAAGAGAATTACTGGAATGAAACAGAACTAAAAGACTTTTAGATGGATAAATTAACTGGAAACAAGTAGAGAAAATACTATATTCGGTTTTTCATTAACATTTAGGTAAGGGTAATCCAAAATTATGGGAGATCTGCTTCCATTTTCTGTACTTTCTTTTTCAATATTCTCAGAAGAATGCATTGGTACTAAAAAATTCGTTTTCTTTTCTACGCAAAAATTATATTTCTGATGCAATAAGTACAAAACAGTGTGGACGTAGGTAAGACTTTTATGTAAAGCGAAATCAGTAAAGTTAAAACAGCAGTTTGGGTATGAAATAAACCACTAATATCTGGTTTGATTTGTTTTTCAAAGCCTTTTATAAGGTTTGGTTGACAAAACCGTCAATGTTTGAGGAATGATTTTGATGTAGCATCTTAAAGTATCCTTGTCAACCACTCCTCTGTTTTTGTTAAAATACGGGCAACTGCGGAGAAATTCGGTTATATTAACCCAACTCCAGTTGAGAAGGGTCACCTAAAAAACAAACAAAACAGCACATAGAAGAAAATATTGCCTTTTGTAACGCAATATCATCCGGCTTCACCTAACCTCAAGACCATACTGATGGGGAAATGGCACCTCAATCAGAATCACATCGCAAAGAAAGTCGTCAACTTAGTCAGAACTAACCTATGAAGACAGAAGTTTAACATCGCTTGCGGATGACAGGAATGTCATGCAGGCTTGTCAATACTTCAATTTTTAGCTGGTCACTTGCCTGTTGCGATATGCACCCTGCGCGAAGCGCGTCGACGCTTTGATGCAGAAAAATCTTTGAGAATTGGCTATCAGTTAGATCTCTGATGTTTGGACTATCCTTCCTGTCATTCTACAGGTTGAAATTTTTCGTCTGCCTCGTGGCTTTAAGCCTTCCATGTGAAGGAACGTATATCATTTATTGTTCCAGTTACAAAAAAAACATTTTTTAAGAAAATTGCGAGAAACCAGTACACAACTACCCAGAATAAACCACTAGTAATTTCAGAAGGCTGCCACGACAATTTTGAACCTAACAAAATATTTAAATCGCTCGGATGCACTGGAATGATGGACCTCAATGGAGATCTCGAATTTAGATGGCATAGAAAATGGCGGATTAAGCGCGCAATGTCCTGTGGTTGACTAGGATCCTTTAACAGAAACCCTTTGGCCATCTACTCGCGAGATCGAAAATAATTTCGTCCGTGGCAATTGCATTCAAGCTCCATTGTATCGAGAGAATAGACATAATGCCTTTTATTTTGTTTTGGATATGCTCAACGTTAAGCCTTTCTTTTTCAACTGATTACGAGCTATGTAGCTATTCCAAATAACCAGAAATAAAATTTGCCTCGAAAAAAAAACCTAGAAAATCTCTTGTGTTTCTGATGAAAGAGTTGCAGTGTAAAACGGTAGCAAATAGTTTCACCATGGTAGCGGAATAAGGGATGCAACTGGTGGGATTCGGGAATCTTGATAAAGTCTTTACATGCTCTCATGCGATCAGTTGAGGCTCTCGGCACTGAGTATAAAAAGGAACGGCGTGATCGCAGCAAGGATTTCCCGTGCTTTTCTCTGGTTGGTTCATCTCAACTCATGTCATTCATCTTTTAAGGTTATTCGTTAGAAAAAAACGGTTATTGAACAATTCTTTTTAAATTTTCTTTTAGTGTTCCTTATCAATGTCTGTTTCGAAAAATGCAATAGCAAAAGATAGGTCACTGTGCTTGTTTAGGAGATTTAATGAGCCAAACTTACCCCGGTTATGCCTGTGCTGGTACAAATCACGCGCGTCATTTCATCGGTTCACGATACATTTTGCTGCGGCTGGAAGCAAGGGATTTTAGATTTAAAAAAACTTGATAGGTGGAAAGTCTTAAGCGTGTGGAACAATTTTGTATATAATTTGTGGGAAAATTACGCAAATTGAAACGACATCGACTCAAAACGTTTCACTAGTCATTCCTTTCACGGTTATAATTTGCATTCTTGAGTAACGGGCTTCGTACACGCTCATAGCTTTATCTTTTTCCCTTGGAAGAATTCTTTTAAAATTTCCCCAATTTAAAGAGGATAAATTGTACACTAAAATTTACAAATATATATATATATATATGTTTATATAGGTAATTTAGTGTCAACAACTGAGTTGAAAACGTAAATTGGCCACCGTAAAGAGTAAAAAGCTGGCGTTTCGAGCGTTAGCCCTTCGTCAAATCGATTGACCAATCTGGAACTTTCAAATGCGCTCGCTCACGATGCAAAACTTGTCCTTTCATTCATAACGTAGAGAAAATATCCGGACCCAAGAGATCCATTAAGATCACTGATCACTTTACGTGTACCTCCGCCAATGTTATTTACTGCATAACTTGCGCTTATTGCAATAAGTTATGCATTGAAAACGAAGACGACTAGGAACACCTTCCAGATGTGGACAGAAATGACAAGGACGCATCCAAACCAGTCGCCAAACACTTTTATCTCCCTAATCATTCTAAACAGCATATGACAGTTTGCGGCCTTTCCATACATCTAGGCAGTTCGGAGAGCCGCAAAACACTAGAACAAAAATTTATCTTCCAAATCGGCACTCTTAATCACCACGGTATTAACGAGCACTTTTCATTCAACTAATTTATTCTTGTTTTCTTGTCACCATATTCCCACTAACAGCGTAGCTCCATTTTCTGCATATAAACCCACCCACAACCCACAATTCCTCCAATCCCTCAGACAAATGGCTGACGCTCGAAACGTCAGCTTTTTTACTCTTTACGGTGGCTAATTTACGTTTCCAACTCAGCTGTTAACACTAAATTACCTGCTATACTCTCCCACCGACGCAGCACCACAGTTTCTTTAGAAACTTACCCCCTTTATTCACTTATGCGTATATAGGTCAGAGTGCTTGTTCAAGAGCTAAAGAGTATCTTGCTCTTTACCTGGTCCGTGGATTGAAAAACAATACCGTGTTCTCGGAATGCGCGGGCGCTCATTCCTTTGATTACTTGATTTTTATGCGCAGTACAGGATGCGCAGTGCAAAACTATTGAATCACCTTAATCGTAAAATTGTGACGACAAAGGTATTTATGTCAGAATGATGATACCGCACTATGTAAGCCAAAAACATTTTCCCTATCGAGATCTAGTATGACATAGAATATCTTAATTTCAGCTTTGGCGGGCGCTAAGGACTACACAGAGAGGGCATGACCAGCTGCGCTAGAGGAAGAGATAACAAGCACGATAAATGTTTGATTGTGTTATCTGCTCTTGATGAAATTTCCTTCTCTCTTTCTCCTTTTTCAAAGAGCGTTTCACAACACGCTGATTGTTTCTAAATTATGGTTGTTGAAATACGAGTATCGGTGCATGAGGATGTCTCATGCTCATAAATGTTTGTCTATTAAGACTCTCGACCAATAGGTGCGCAAGAATTTTCTCGTTGAAAACTTTGAATGAGTGTTTGACGTTTTTGGGAACGACTTGAGGCTTTTAAATTTCTTCCATACAGTGGTCGGGAGAAAAAATGGCCGTCGGTGGCTTTTGGCAGGGGTTCGACTCTAAAACTGGTTTGTTATGATAACTTAATAACTCGACGTCACAACATATTAGCTCTGAACACTCTGCTTGAAAACGTATAATGTCAGTCCAGGTGATTATGCGACCTACCTCACTGCTCCATTTGATGTTCATTACAGTATGTGAATGATGTAGTTGTATATCTTAGCTTAACAGCTTCCGGGCTGTTCGTGACGAGCAGCTCAAATAACAAGTTCAAAAATACCTTAAAATCGCTTGATGTTTGTTATCGAGCTGCAGCAAAATTTAACAGAAAACGATCTCAACGTAACTGAGATAAGGCCTCACTGCTGAGTGAATTTTAACAAATTGAGCCGTTTAAAAATTATGACGCTGCTAAGTTTGCTCCTGACTTTTCAGCTGCTACATGAAACTATTTACAGAAAGAGCTCTAAACCAAAGCTTATTGAGTATATCACAATAATGCGAGGTACCCAAGAGTGAGACTGGGGTGGCTGATTACGTGTAAGCCGGGAGAAAAACGTTGTCTCGGGAAAATGACATCTAGAGTTGACCATTAAACAATTTATTTTATTTTTTTGCTTTTGTTGCGTTATCTTCCTTTAGACCTCTTATAAGTAAATTTCATTACAATCTCCAACCTAAATATCAGTCCGGATTTGGAAAAATTTGATAAACAAACAATGTTGCCACTCCCTCTCGACTACTTGATGCTCATCACATTCTAACAGAGGTGAAATAGACTACATTCGTTGATCATTACCAAGAACATTGTGTGATAGTGTAT